GTCCTGTGTCTGAATACAAACTAATAGAGACCAAACTTGCATTCTAAAATAAAGAACCAAAAGCTAAATTGACTGCAATTGGAACTGATTGGAAAGAACATTTGGGATTCAAGATAATAACTTTATAACACAATTGTGATGCATTTGTTCCAAAACTGTTCAATAAACAGTAAGTTTTAGACTTTTCAGTTGGAGCAGGATTTAGTTTACACCGTCTCTATGAAGAATACCTTCCCATGTACATCATTTTTCAAATCTTTCAGCTCTAGAAACAATATGCTTGTGCTTCCACTTAGATATAGGCATCATGCTAATGTTGAAACATTAATAGAAATGTGTTCTTTAATAATTAAATATTCACAATATCTGGTTTACAATAAAGAGCAGTTAATAGCAATAGAATTTTTTGCAAACCTTTTGCTTAAAGTTTTAGAAAACCCGTGCTGAACTATTTAATAGATTTTGCTAGAAAAGCTTGTGATGGAGTGCTATGTATGCTTGCCTTTGCTTTCACCTAGAATTCAGGGCCATTACTTTCTGTAACCATTTCAGTGAGCTGCCATAGTTTTCAGTCTGTACTGTCACCTGATCCAAGCATGCGCCAAAAAACCCACCGTTTCTGGCTACTGTCTGCTGAATCTGCTTTGCGAACCCTTAGTTCTTTAAGCTTTTGCTTTAGCCAAAAACAAAACAGACACCCTTTTGGAGTGTACTGGACACATGCCATCCTGCTTCCCCTAACTCCTTTAATGTTTATGTAAATCCTTAGCTTTACTAAACTTGTAAATGCTACAATGGCATCCTCATGTGGAATTGTGTGGCTCATGTGTCAAAATAAAAGGCTGCTTGTGGTGAATATATTTGTCCAAAAAATATGAATGCCTACACATTGCACTGCATTCAGTGTTTTGTATCAATTACTATTCCAATGTCATGGTGTCTGACTTTAATTGTATAAAATCATTTTGTATTTAATATGCAAAGGTAAGTTTGTGTATACTAAATGTTAATACATAGTATTTTATATATTTACAACTATATAAATTATCTTGGTTCACATTATCTTACCACATTTTGAAAAAAAATTAGCCCTACATTTAAATGACATAAAAAGATCTCTTTATTCATATGCACTGTTGACAGACGTGGCTCCTGTGGGATTTCTTTTTAATCTTGTGCAATGGCAATTGGTTGACTTTTATCAATGGTATTGGGCCTGGTCCTGTTTCCCATTGTCTGTAATGGGGAAAAAAGCTTTGACTTTAATGAGAGTGTGATCAGGCCTATTATATTACTGTGGATTAATAGTGCTTTTACTTTACATCTTACTATTCCTGACATGTTGACCAGAATCTGGGGAAAGAATAAGTGGTAAAATGTTATCTGAGCACTCCACAGATAAAAGAAATAGCTGTGAGTGTCTCGGTGCTGAGACTGCATCCTCCTCCCATATAGTATACAGTATTTTAAGGTGAAGTGAGTGGAAAAATTGTCTTGTAATCTTTTAGGAAGCTCACTCCTAAATTTTGTAATCCACATGCCCAAAATCTCCGTGGGGGGAAATGATGTGTGGTACCAATGTGGGGACCTGTCATTATTTCTGCTTTTCCTGGTTCTCTTTGTCCGCTTCCTTCTCTTTTGGTTTTACTCCCACCCCATCCTTGTTTGCGTCACCTTACTGGTTGCATTTGTATTGCTCTTTTTTCTTCTCACCTTTTTCTTTCCCTGTTTGTTTTTTTTTTCTCCTGACTGTTCAATACTTTCTGTTTCCACCTCCCCTCCCCCCCTTTTTTGCACTTTTTTTGTCTGAGAGTAAGCAGCAGCAGTAGCTGCCAAACTGTAACACTTTCCATACTTAAGGCTGCAGAGGGAAACTGATCAGCATACTAGTAGGTCCTTTTGTATCCAAGTCTTTATGCAGAGCTGCAAAAAGAAACATACTAGGATCATGAGATTCTAGTGGCACTCCCCCCGCCCCCTCCTTTTTTTTTTTTTTTTTGGCAAATGTTTCTCTTGCAAAGTCATAATGTATTGGAGGACTGTTTCATCAAATGAGTCTAGCTAGATACCTGTTGCCCACTCTAACTGATCAGGAAGTATAGTGAGTAGGTAATGTAAGTGCTTTAGTTGCACTGGGCTCTTGACTTGTTATAAACTACAAAATTACTAAACTTAGTTATGTAATACACATTAATAATTGAATTACTTGTCTTGATTGGGTTTAGGTAGAGGGGTCCCTCCTGAGATTTTTACTACTTTTGACACTTGCATCACTGTGAATATCCCTCAAGCCAGAGAGAGTTAGGGATGGCACCCTTCAGAATGTGTTTGTTGCTTTTTCTTCTACATCTGCCTCCCATTTGGCTGGCATTTATAGCACTTTCCCTAGAGTTTGAAAGGACTACCTCTCTAGTGTTCCCAGCTTCTGACAGGTGAAAAGCATGGGACCTCATTGAGGGTTTGAGTGCAATTCCTCAGTGTGGGCCAGATTTTCTGTGTTCAAACTTGCAGTCAAAATAGCTTTAAATAATGACATAACATTCCCACTAGTGAAAGCATAAAAAGCTTACATTGATGTCACTGAAAGTGTATAACCAGTGTATTCACTTCTATGATTCTAAAGATAAATACACTAAGAACAGTATGTGGGTTTTTATTAGTAAACACAATGGAACCTGCTCATAGTAAACTAGGTGTAATGAAACTTGGTATATCATTGTCAGTGAAAGTAACAAATTCCTTCAGCATGTAAATTGCAGTTCTGACTGTAGTTAATTCTGTTAATTAATGTTAATTCTGATGAAGAGTGAAATTTGTGTGTGTGTATAATATATATTTATTTTACACACACACACACACACACACACACACACACACACACACACACACACACACACATTCACTTACTCTCTCTCTCTTTTCACTATAAGATTTTCCTGTAGTTAATTTTTTGCTGTTTAACATTTTTCTTTCCTCTGAGGAAGGCTGCAGAGTTGTTACTATGCTATGGATGCAGGTGTTAAAAGTCAGGAATAATTGGAGAACATGATACAAGCCTCAGCAAAATATACTGTATTTTCCCCCCAGAAATATCCTTTAAAGCTTTTGTTATAGAAGAAATAAGAGTTAGTTTCTATTTTAGATCTGCAAAAGTCCGATTCTAAAACAAAAGCTGAACTGTATTTTAAAATGAATACGTTTTGTACAATAACAGGTTTCAGAGTAGCAGCCGTGTTAGTCTGTATCCGCAAAAGGAACAGGAGTACTTGTGGCACCTTAGAGACTAACTAAATTTGTTAGTCTCTAAGGTGCCACAAGTACTCCTGTTCTTTTTGCACAATAGTATTTTGGACTTAATTCACAAATTTCCAAACAGCTGCCTTTTTAACTGTGCATTTATGTTGAATCTCAGTCCAATCATGGGCCTAATATGTGATGTATGGGTATTGCATACCATATATACAAAGATTCACCGTGCTGCACTTGTAGTAGAGCATTTACCTGGCCAGATCCCAGTATGGCTCAGATTTTGGAACTGGTATTTTGGGCCCTAATCCTGCAAAGAAATCTTTATAGGCAGGTGCTTGTGCCTGTGCAAAGTTTCATTGACTTCAGTGGGACTCTGTAATCATAAGGGTCCACGTAGGCAGATTCCTATGCAGCATCTGTGTATTTAGTGATTTATTAATCATATTTTGTTTATCAAAAATTTAAATCATTTCTAGTTATAGGTGCTGCAGACATAGCAATGCGCTCTTGAAAGAACCGGGACCAATGTTGCAGAACCTCCATCAGAACTCCTATTGATTCCACATGTAGAGGGTTTGCAGGATTAGAGTCTTTGTTTAAAAAGTAATTATTTTGCTGTTTAAAGTAAGTGAATGTTACTCAAAAGCTTTTTGGTAACATTTATTACTGCATTTGATTGTCTAATGTAAGAAGTATTCAGGAAGTGTAGTTGGTAATTTTTTTAAATTCTTTGACCTTACCGTATAGATCAGGGGTAGGTAACCTATGACACGCGTGCCAAAGGCAGCACGCGAGCTGATTTTCGGTGGCACTCACACTGCCCGGGTCCTGGCCACTGGTCCGGGGGGCTCTGCATTTTAATTTAATTTTAAATGAAGCTTCTTAAACATTTTAAAAACCTTATTTACTTTACATACAACAATAGTTTAGTTATATATTATAGACTTATAGAACGAGACCTTCTAAAAATGTTAAAATGTATTACTGGCACGCAAAACCTTAAATTAGAGTGAATAAATGAAGACTCGGCACATCACTTCTGAAAGGTTGCCCGACCCCTGGTATAGATTATAAAATTAATCTGGTTAATAACATCTGGATTCTAAATAAATAATTTTTGAGAAATAAAAGTTTTAAACATACCCACTTTCCTTAGCACAGAGATACTGAAAATGCAGGTGAGATGTGGACTGCAAAGCTTTGTGTTGGCCTGTGACATACTCTTTAATATGGAGATGTGTTCAAAAGAGATAAATCTGCTTGCAGCAAGATAAAATACAATAATTTTTTTTCACAACCTGCAGCTCTGTATTAAAGATGAGGGTACCTAAAATCTACATAACTTTATGCAAATTACATGCAGCCCTCAGGCTTTTGGCAAGTTAACAATGTGACCTTCGAGTGGGTAAAATTTGGAGCAGAGGCTACAACATTTTGGTTGCTGCTGCTGCAGGGACAGCAAAAGAACACAGCTAATATAACAAATCCTATTTTTACTGGTGAGAAACAAGGAAATAAATGAAACACAGCCATGTTTGCTTTTGTTCAATAAACAACATGAAGAAGAAATATTGTTTGCTAATTGGGAAAAGGACAAAATAAGTAGGGGGAAAAATTCAAGGTTGCAAGTCTGTTACAACAAATTTAAGAATTTAAAAACAGCATTTAATAGACAGTTTAAAGTTTAATCACGTACTATTTTAAATTGATGTGCTGCAGAATAGTGAACTGATTTATACTTTGTCTTTCAGATGAACCAGAGACACGAGATGCGTGGTGGGCAGAAATCAGACAAGAGATAAAATCCCATGCCAAGGCATTGGGTTGTCATGCTGTAGTGGGCTACAGTGAATCAACTAGCATTTGGTAAATCATGATGATTTGATTTTCTAAATGCCATAGAAAATAATTCTGTACCATCTTCTAAGGATTAAAAATGGGGATAGAGAGCGCAAGACAGATGTTGATAGTGTGTAGCATACCAGCTTTGAAGGGTTTACTAAAACATCTTTCATCTTAAGTTTCAAACTGGGGATAAACAGCTGTGTCTTCACATGTTTTTCAGAATTAATTCTGTAGCCATTGTCATAACTATTCCTTAGCATGCTACTGCTAGTCTTTAATCTACGTATTTGCTTTTGACAGTTAACATTAACTTGTCTAATTCTCAAGTTCACTAAACTTTATCTGCCAGAATGCCTGGACATTTTACTTAAATATGTTTTATAGTTACACTTTATTGTCAAGGAATGATTGATAGTTCAGAAGTAAAACAGACACTTTTAAGGCATGGAAGCAGGGGGTCCTTCTCTAGGGATTGATCGTAAATTGAGCCAGATAATCTTGCCTCCCAGAACTGGAGTACTGCAGGCTGAGTGTTCCTGTCCTGAATCTCTCTTTGGGACGTACTGACCATGATTTTTCTCCTCCAGTACCACACAGAGAAAATAATGTGTATAGCCTTTTGGGCTAAAATTTGAGGGATTGCATTTTTCCACTCCTATGATACAGTAGCAGCACTTTCCTGGACAAAGACATTAAACTGGTCATAGTAGTGTCTTCATTCCACAAGTCTAACATGTTCCCCCAAATGGCAAAGACAGGTGGGCCTCTCAGACATTGAGCCATAGGGAGAAGTTAGGTTCAACTGTTATGGCTCCAATAGCTATGCTAGGCTGTCTCCATCCATCTGGAATTCAAGGGACACAGAAACAGAGTAGCCCTATTTATTTGAAAATATAAAAACATACAGCCATCTCAGCTAGAAGCCAGAACTGCACTGACCTATCCCACACTTTGAAGGGTAAGAATATCTCACCTACCTTCTGTATTTGTGATTTATCACAACCTTGGGGAGAACAATATGGAATCCTTGTATCTACTTCCAGGCTGTCTAGTCCACAGAAGGTCACATCTACAGCTCCAGAAAGCAACCCTGAACAGAAATCCTGCTATCAGCCAAATACCAGGATATTCAAGTGGAATCAGTTACAGAGGATCAAGTAGAAGAGACCCACTTTCTCCCAAGGAAAATCAGAAAGAGCTGATGATTGGCATCACCTTCATACTACCACAGAAGGAAAATTACCAGATACATGTGAGCTTGATGGGCTGAGAGGTCTACATAGGTTACATAAAAGCAGCAAAGAGTCCTGTGGCACCTTATAAACTAACAGATGTATAGGACCATGAGCTTTCGTGGGTGAATACGCACTTCTTCGGATGCATGTAGTGGAAATTTCCACTACATGCATCCGAAGAAGTGGGTATTCACCCACGAAAGCTCATGCTCCTATACGTCTGTTAGTCTATAAGGTGCCACAGGACTCTTTGCTGCTTTTACAGATCCAGACTAACACAGCTACCCCTTTGATAGGTTACATAGACATTCAAGCACCAGGGACTCCCTTGTCCGGCTCAGTTTCAGGTGGCCTTCCTAGTCCAAGACAAACATATTAGTAATTCCACACATTGTTAAAACAGTATCATTGGGCAGGCGGGAAAGGAATAGGAGCAAAGCACCCAGGGAGATGGCTCAAGTGCTATTCAGTATGGCAGAACCAAACATCTAAATAAAAGTACATTTGAAAGGGATCCTAAATGTAAGAGCTAAGTGACAAAACTAAAACAAGGAAGAATAGAGTCTCGAAGTGGAGGTTTTCAATTGGATAACTAGGAACTTGGGATGACTAGAATTGAAACTTTCACCTCCTCAGAACATCAGGGTCTGAATTTTCACTTCAGTTCAATTACTAGGTCAGAGAATAAAGATATTTGACAAGAATTTTTCAATGCTAGACTAAGTTTGAACATCTTTATTAAAAGTTGCTTGGGAAAGAGCACTTTTAGATGAGAACTTGTGCTGAGGTTTTTTCTTTTCCCCCCAACTCAAGTAAACACCACAGTTCTACTGTTAGTTGTTGTTGTTGTTTTTTAAAGCCTGAATATGGACCCAAACCCCAGTAATGTCAAAATATTTGTGATGTTTTGACATCCTTTTTGGCTTAAGGTTTTGAAGGTTGCCTCAGTGCTTCTATAGCCTGCCTATTCATCTATGTCTAATGTGGAGTTGCAGCATTGTTTGACAAACTCTTCTCAATGGTCTATTTGAACTATCTTTCTATGTTTTGGCTCTTAAGTTGACCTTCCAAATAGTTTTTGCCTCAGCTATGGTGATCTTGGAACTAAGTATCCCCTCCACAGAGGAACTATATCAGGGGTAGGCAACCGATGACACACGAGCTGATTTTGAGTGGCACATTTTAAAAACCTTATTTACTTTACATACAACAATAGTTTAGTTATATATTATAGACCTATAGAAAGAGACCTTCTAAAAACGTTAAAATGTATTACTAGCATGCGAAACCTTAAATTAGAGTGAATAAATGAAGACATGGCACACCACTTCTGAAAGGTTGCTGACACCTGAACTATATTTTATCTTTATAAGGATAAAGTTGTCCTTAGACTTTCCTGCTGGTGATGCACAGATCTCAAGAAGTAATCCTACCATCCATTTGCTCCCATCCTAGTCACCCGAAGGAATAAGCAATGTTAAGATTTTGCCCTTAAAGAACAAAACCAGATGGAAAATCAGGCTCTATTTGCAGTGACAATGGCAAGCTGCAAAAGGGAGAAGGCATCCAAAGAGCACCTTCACAAGATGGGTAACAGGATGCATCGCTGCAGTATATAAGATGAGCAGACATGGACAATCTGAAAGCATCATGGCAGTTTCCACCAGGTCCATGGTATGCTAAGGGGACTTGTGTGCTGGCTGAAGAAACGAACATCTTTAACTTTCACAAGTTTTCCTCTTCTTCAAATTCAGCCTTTGGAAGTAAAGTTCTCTATGCTGTGATAAAGTAGGGCTTGTAGTGAAAATGAAAATCTGTTCATCTTGATTAGTCTTCCGATAAATAATATGAGTAGTTCAATTCCCTTATATTTTCTTTGTTAATACTTAATTTTGTTTTAGTATGGGACAGGAACATACTATTTATTTATAAATTCATAAATTTATTCATAAATTCATAAATCAGTTAATAGTATATTTTATACTTTGAATTGTTGGTAGGACTTTGAGTTGACATTACTTCACTGATGGTGGAAGAATTAAATAGGGGTCCCCTGCTGATTTTCATTTCAACCTGATTCCATGCCTTAAACAGGAAGGACTTGAGTATTTACAGTATTGGCCTGCCAGACATGCTGTATCTGTGGGGGAAGAGGGGGGTCAGGAGGAGGAAATACAGGTAAATAAAATAAATTAGGAAGAGTTACAGGTAAATAAGACAAATTTCTCAGTCTAAGAAAGGATGCAGGGTATCTTTTTGTTTTTCAGCATAATGTGTTTGATTTAGTGTTTACCCTTATAGGCTTGGTTCACTGTCTAACATTTGTAAAATTGTACAGACAATAAATGTTGTGTGGTCTTTGATAACTGTTTAACTTTTAAACCAATAATAGAGTATATTACTTAGATGTAACACTGTAGTTGCTGTTCATACTTTAAAATTTTACTTATTTTTTGCTTTTGTCCCCTGAGTTACCAAGAAGCAACTTGTCAGTATTGCTTTGTAACTTCATTTTGACAATGAGTGATATCAGGTGATGGGGTTTTCAGCTTCCACACTTAACTTTGGTAAACAGCTACACCTTGTCTGCAACATTCCCAGGCACTCTAATCTGTAGAATCCAAAAGCTTTCTTAAATCTATATTTCCTGGGTAATCTAGTGGGCTGAGAACAGAAGTGGAAACCAGGAATTCCTGTTTTCAAATTCCACCTCCTAAATTGATTTTCTCTTCGTAGCTTTGGGCATGTCTCTTTAATCTATCTGCATCCATTTCTCTCCATTTAAAATGGGCATAATACCTCACAAGACTATTTGTGTGGATTAATTGGTTAATCTGCTAGGTATTGTTATTACTGGTAACATGATTCCACAAGGGTTAACGGTTACATTTAATTCACTGTGGCTTTTGAACAAGCTTTTTAAATATATGGCTTTAAAAAAAGGATATTTAACACCATATCAGAAATTCACTTCTTTGTAATTCTTTTCTTTTTATAGTGAAGAGGTCTGTATTTTGTCCGCGTCTGGCACAGCAGCTGTACTGAACCCTAGGTTTCTCCAGGATGGCACCATGGAAGGCTGTTTGGAACAAAGGTTGTCATGGCAGCCTGGCTTCTTTTCCATAGGGTCAGAGAAGGGAGAGGTTGATTTTTTTCCTCAGAACCAAGATAGTTCTTCTCTATTAGGGTAGGTTACAGTGTTACAGTGCAGGATGCGGGACCAACCACTTTACTGATTTTCACTAACAACAACAACAGAAGTAATGGAACTCTGCACCAAATTAGATTTTCTGTTTTTATTTCTAACAGTCTGAATAAGGTAACATGTTTGACTACTAACCACAGAATTATAACTCAGTCTTTTTCTTTGCCACTCTTCACGTATCTTTCTTACCTTTGTAGCACACTACAAAAAAGTGACAGCTATATGATAATTTGTATAAGTCAAATCTTGGTTTGGCTATAGTATGTGGACCATTGTCTTTGTTATGTTCAATGGCTGTATAGAAAATAAAATACCTTTGAGTGTAAAACAAAAGTGAATAAGACAAGCATTTAAAAATGAATATTTAAACTGAAGATTATGAACAAAATCATAAAGGTTGATGGAAAAGAAAAAAAATGAATTGGCCAACTAACACAAATTGTTGGCTGTTTGACCTCTGTTTTTTGTTTGCTTTGGGTTTTTTTTTTGGTTTTTTTTTTTGAGAGAGAGAGAGGGGCTTGCAAAATAATTATTTGAGGGCAGTCAAGATATACAAACTATTGCATGTCAACAGGACTTTTTCAGTATCTTCACTGGAATAATAGTCATATATCCTTAGGGATTAGTACAGTCCAAAATATACAGTGTATCATAGTGAAGTGATACAATTTTATCTCAATATTTAGCTTTTTCTTTTTTCATTTCATTAGGAAGAGACTGAGTATTACCTTTCCCTGCAAATACTACTTGTTGATCAGTTCTTTGAAACTGCAGTTTTAACCCCTTTAAACAAACAAATAATCAAACAAACCTTTCCTTTTCTTTTTTTCTGTCCCAACAGAACATTTAATACACTTGTTCAACCTCTCCTTCCCCTACTGACATCTAAAGAAATGTCAAGTTTTTAATGTTAAAACAAAATAAAAATTCAGTTTTTGATCATAATATATTTTATAAGCTTGCTGAATGTGTTGTTTAAAGGGAGAATCACATTTATTTTCAGTAATAAAAGCTGACTGATAATAAAGCAACCAAATGTGAAATATGTACAGAAAGTCTGTCTCATTTTCAAAAATGACTTAGGCTCCTTAGTGCCCAAATCTCTTTTAAAGTCAATGGGACTTAGGTTCCTAAGTCACTTAAGTTCTTTTGAAAAGTTTACTCAGAGTTCTTTGAGAAGAAAAATTACTGTGAAGGACAAAATTTTACAATGAGGCTCTTACATAGTATGTTACAAAATCGTAATTTGTTCAGACTATATTGTTTATAGTCTTCCATGTGTTTTTGCAACAATTCTGCCTAGATATTTTTTTTTCAGTTAAGTGAATAGTGAGTTTTTCTTAATACTGTAGCTTGGGAAATTCTCTAGGGGTCTTTCCCTTTTTAATGACTATCTGTATTATACTGTTCTCCAGTAGGATGACTGGCATGTTTAATTTCTGCAGCTTAATTTTGTATAGGTTATTCAAACATAGTCCATGTAAGAGATTTGATATGTATTTACCCAGCAGCGTCCTTTGTAAAGGTGTGATATTCCACAGACTACACCCAGCTAGCAAGAATTAGATCTTAAAGCTATTGCAATAATATCTTAGGCTAATATAACCACTGGCCATTTTATGCTGTCGTTTTTTGATCCCTGGATAACTGGTAAGCTGCACAGATACTATATGTATCATTTTAGAGAATAGCTTGTGACCTAATTCTGCTCTGTTACATTGGTGCAATCCTATTAACCTGTTGCACAGATGTAGTAGAACAGAATTTGACTCCATATGTGTGGCTTATGTAGCTGTATGTATAGGCCAATTTTATACGCACATGCACATTGTATTTCGTGTTAAGATGATGCACAGATGTTTTAAATATACTTTTCCAAAATGTACTTTTAGGATAGAAGAAACTTCACCTCCAGGTTGTGGATTTTGCCACATACCATATGATGAACTGAACATGCCATTCCCTGCTCATCTCACATACTGTTACAACTGCAGAAAACAAAAGGTTCCTGATGTTCTTTTCACAACAATAGATCTGCCTGCAGAGGCAATGGTTATTGGGAAGGGATGTCTTATTCAAGCCAGGTATCTGTCAAAATATTTATTTTCTTACTACTGTGCTGGAGAACATTAGAAATTTTCCTGTTACTGTAGTTCAACAAAAGAGCAGATTTATTATTTTATGTTCAATTATGTGTAGTAACTGGCAGCTAAATGTTTATTTCCTGTTGTGATGTCATTAACTTTAGTTTTGTGCTTTTTATTTATACTAGTCTATAGTACAGGGGTGCTGGAATAATTTGCATTGTGGGGATGCTGAGAGCCATTGAATCAAACTGTAAATTCTATATATGATGGAAACCACTTCAAGCCAGGGGGTGTTGCCACATCCCCAGTACCCCTAGTTCCAACACCTATGCTGTAATCCTATTAAATTTATTGTATTCAGCCCACATGGCTATGGAGAGCAAAGACTTGCAAGCAGGGCCGCCGAGAGCAGGTTCGGGCCCCGGTGAAAAAAAAATTTCGGACCCCCCAGCAAGGGCGGACCGGCTAAACAGGGCCAACAAGAGTGAGGGGGGGAAGCCGGGCCCCCTTCCGGACCGCTGGGCCCCGGTAATTTGTATCGGCTTCCCCCCTCCTCTTGTCGGCCCTGCTTGCAAGTACAGAAGAAAGTTGCACATGCTACATATGCTCAAGTTAAAATAATTCAAAATACTGAACCAGGCTGGCCGTACTGGGGGGGTTGCGGTTGCAGTATCCATGTTCCCACTTGTAAGGAGTCTCCACTCTCGCCACTTCAGCCATCCTCGAGAAGGCATTCTGAACAACTTTTGGAGGATGCACCCCTTAGTCCGACTTAGATGCTTCTGCCAGAACTGGAGCACTTCCTCTCATCATCGCTGGAAACCGCGGTTCTTTGATTTCCTCCTCGCTCCCAGATGACTACCGTCAATTCCAAGAACTGTTATGTAGGGTGGCTGATGCCCTCCATATTCCACTGGAGGAAGTGCAAGACAAGCCTCACCAATTCCTTGAGATGTTACTGCCTCTGCACCAGCCAGAGTGGCCCTACCAATCAATTCTTCAACCGGCCCGGACTGTCTGGCACACTCCAGCTACCTGCACACCCACCCCCAAAGAGGTAGAGAAAAGCTACACCTCTACCCTGATATAACGCGACCCGATATAACACGAATTCGGATACAACTCGGTAAAGCAGCGCTCCAGGGGGGCGGGGCTGCGCACTCAGGTGGATCAAAGCAAGTTTGATATAATGCGGTTTCACCTATAACGCGGTAAGATTTTTTGGCTCCCGAGGACAGCGTTATATCGGGGTAGAGGTGTAGTATGTACCTCCAATGGGGCCTGAGTTTTTTTTCTCTCACCTGCCACCCAATTCTCTCGTCTTTCAGGCAGCAATGGAGTGGGCCCATCAGCAATACTCACGTTCCACCCCAGTGGATAAAGAGGGCAAATGCCTGGACCTTGGGGGTCACAAGGTTTTCTTCTCTGCCAGTTTCGCATTTCAAATTACCTGGCTCTATTTGCAAACTACGACTTCCTTATCTTTAGCAAAATGGCATACTTCACAGACAAACTGCCCCAGCGGATCAAGCCCGATTCCAGGCTATCCTGGATGAGAGGAAGCTGGTTGCGAGGACAACATTGCAGGCTGTGGTGGATGCGTCAGACACTTCTTTAGGCATGATGGCTACAGGGATCATCATGCAAAGGGAATTATGGCTGCATTTGTCAGGTTTCCTGAGGGAAGTCCAGACCACCATAGAGGACCTCCCTTTCGATGAGTCTCATCTCTTCAACCAGAAGACTGATGATTCCCTTCATTCCCTCAAGGATTCCAGAGCCACTGTGCAATCACTGGGTTTCTACACACTGGCACCCAAGTGCAAGTTCTACCTGACTCCAAAGCAGCAATTTAGAGTTTCCCAATTATTCCTCTAGTGGCCCTATGAGCTTCCTTGCAAACAGCAGAAAACCCAGTGACCCCATCCCTCAGGTTCATCATCACAACCTTCTGCATCTCATACCCAGTCTTCCCAGAAGTGCTATTTATGAGTGCAATTAGAGAGCCGCCAACCACCCTGCCTCATGCCGTGCACCCGACTCACTCCCTTTGGGGGGTGCCTATCACTCTTTTTACCACGTTGGAGTGCAATAACGGACAAGTGGATCCTGGATGTCATTCGATATGGCTATATGATCGAATTCAAAATGGCTACCTCATCCTCATCCCTCACCCGGGCCTAACTTCAGGGACCACTCTCACGACCGTATCCTCACCGTAGAGGTAGACTCCCTGCTGCAAAGGCGAGTGATAGAACCTGTTCCCATGACACCACCACCGTCTATTACATCAACAGACAAGGGGGCACAAGGTTGCCTGTGCTTTGTGCAGAAGCAATTCACCTTTGGGACTGGCCTTGCCCACAAGATCCTGTTACCAGCGGCATACCTTCCTGGGACTCAGAATGTAATTGTGGACTCTCAGCAGAAAGTTTGTGACTGACCACAAATGGGAGCTTCACGACACTGGTCGCTAGCATTTTCGACTGCTGGGAGACTCCAGCCAGGGACCTCTTTGCCTCCTGTGCCAACAGCAAATGCACCCTGTGCTGCTCTGGGGGACTTGGTGCCCTTTCCCACGGTGACGCACTAGTCCTTTGCTGGTCAGATAGCTCAATTACACCTTTCCTCCCTGCCGCTCCTGCCATGAGTCCTACACAAGATCAGATGGAAAAGAGCAACGGTCATTCTGATTGCCCCATTCTGGCCTTACCAGTTCTGGTTTTCCCTTGTTCTCAGCATGTCAGCGTGCTCCCCACTTCTGCTGCCACCTTTCCCAAAACTCCTCATGCAACAAGGTGGATGGATCGGGCATCCTGATTCCCAGACTCTTCACCTCAGAGCCTGTTTTTTGGATGAGCACCTTCATTAGAGCAGGAGTGTTCATCAGCAGTACAAGGCTCTTGTCAAATAACGGAGAGGAGTCCACAAGGTGATCCTATAGGGCCAAATGGAAGTGTTTCACCTCCTGGGCTCAGTGGAAGGGTCTAGCCCCTGAGGATGTAGATATTCCTCCTCTTTTGGACTATATCCTCTCCCTAAAGACATCTGGCCTTGCTCTCAACTCCATCAGGGTGCACATGGCTGCTGTCAGTACCTTCCACCCCCCTGCTTGAAGGACACTCCTTTACTCACTCCCTTGACTATCAGGGTTTTGGAAGGGCTTCCTATGAACCTATCCTTCTGTTCAGCCCATTGCTCCCCAATGGGACCTCAACTTTGTCCTCACAATGTTAACGAAGTCACCCTTTGAGCGTCTGGCCTCATGCTCTCTCTCTTCTCCCCATGAAGATTGCCTTTCTAGTAGCTATTACTTCTGCAAGATAGTGAGTCCCGCCTCACCCTTTGTCACCTCAGATGAAACTATGAGGTGGAGCTAGGGTGCATATGTGGACCAACAGACACTACCTTTTTAAAAATCTCTGGCTCCAGACACATGTCAAATGCATATAATCCGCAGTGAAATACAGATAGGGACCACACATCTTGAAGAACTTCCAGTTATAGGTAAGTAATTTCTTCGCTGACAGAGCCCTGCATACTGAATTGTCCTTAGTGAAAGAGAAATCAAGGAAACTTTTTGATATGTTGGAAGTCCGCAAGAAAGGGAAGACTGTTCTCATAAATTTCAAAGGACATGCAGAGGTAGTAAAGAATGCTGGGTGTCACCTTCTTCAGTATTTGCTGCGACAAAGTGAGCCTGAATACTTTTATTAAGGTAACAGAGGGGTAGCCGTGTTAGTCTGGATCTGTAAAAAGCAACAAAGAGTCCTGTGGCACCTTATAGATTAACAGACGTATTGGAGCATAAGCTTTCGTGGTTGAATACCCACTTTGTCAGACGCATGTGACGCATGTGACCTTTATTAAGGTGCGACTGTACAGTTAGTGGGAATTATAACATTTCTTTAACCACTCTGGATTGGCATCTCTGGTCACCTCAGCAATGTTAGTTATGATTTCAGAGCTCAGCAAAGAAGTATCTCAGAATTAGTTACTTTTCAGATTCAAAACCAACTTCCAGTATAAAATATTTGTATAATGTAGTCAAACTTCATCTCAGTGTATTTTGAACTTACCATGTTAGCACTTCTCCAGTTACATAGTTATATTAGGTGTTGGTACAATATTTTTAAAGTAGAGTTATAACTGTGTTGGTCCCAGGATATGAGGGAGACAATGTGGGTGAGGTAATATCTTTTATTGGACTAACTTCTGTTGTGAAAAAGACACGCATTTGAGTTACGTAGAGCTCTTCTTCAGGTCTGAAGAAAGAAGCTTGTCTCTTTCATCAACAGAAGTTGGTCCAATAAAAGATATTGCTTCACTCACCTTACCTCTCCAATAATTTTAAAGGCATAGTGCAGTGGTTTTCTGTGATCCACAGAACCCTCAGGTTCCTCAGACTATGTCTAAGGGGTCTGGGAAAGGTTGTTGTTACCATAGAACAATGGTTTAAGCCTGTGGTTGGGTCCACAGACTAAGTTTAAGATTTTCAAAGGGGTCCTCACTGCCATTTGAAATTTTTTAGGAGTCTGCAAATTAAAAAAGGTTGAAAAACACTGGCATAGTGGGTGAAGCGTATTCCTTGCTTTCTGAGTACGTTTTTATGTATGTTTTGATTACTAGAAGTAAACATGATTTCATAAAAAGAATTGACAAGTCACGCTTTCCAGTTTTTATAATCTGTTTTAATAAGGGATGTTTCTTAATATTATTTAAAATACGTGTATTATTCTGCTTTATAAGTTACTTTTGTTCAAGGTTTCCAGTTTTCAGTTTAAACAGGTATTTTCGTATTAAAGTATGACCGAAATTAAGGGTAAAAATGTACAGCAAATATTTGTTAAAAGCCAAAAAGGGTCAATTTGATGTTGTGCTGACTTGGTATTTTAAAAAAAATAGAATTAAATTCCAGAAAATAACTTTGAATGTTTTGTCAAATATAAAAAGCCTGCACATTTCCTTTTGATCGCTTACAGAGTTTATCAGTGGTTAAAAGTGCTTACATGCGTAAGACAGTCTAATTCTACGTATGTGACGATTTCCATCAACAGGTTATGTCGCCTGAAAAAGAAAGCTCAAGCTGAAGCAAATGCAACATCCATCAGTAATCTGTTGCCATTTATGGAATATGAAGTACACACCCAGCTAATGAATAAACTTAAATTGAAAGGAATGAATGCTCTGTTCGGTCTGAGGATTCAGATTACAGTGGGTGAAAATATGCTGATGGGCTTGGCAGTAAGTGTTGCTTTGAATGCATAAATTAGAATTCCTCATTCTATTATAGTCTGTTCTTCTAATTTCACAAAACCGTTTGTGCCAGTTTTGTATGATGGTGGAATTCTGGACAAATGGAGATATTTAAAAATTATAGTTTTATTAACAAGTGAGATGGTGGAAAGGAAGGATACCGCCACCTTTTTGTTGACAGATCAGAATAGACTTGCCTTGAATACCAGACACAATAGGTTGGACTCTCTTGAAACTGAATTAGTAGATGAAAGTATCATAGGTACAGGAGGCTTCCCCCAAAATATGCTGTAGAAAAATCATAAATTCCTTTACTGGTTACTGTCGAGATCTATTTGACTCCTTAAACTGCATTCCATGTTCATGGTAGATGGGATTTGCCCTCACTGAGTATTTGTAAGTCTTTGGTTATCTTCTAGTGAAAAAGAGGAACCCCCAACACTCCAGCCTCTGCTTGTAATATTGATGGCCTCTAATGCCTCTATTACTTTCCATCTAACTATTAATTCTAAAGGAGTTGCATTATGGTGTTGCATTAGCTTAACTCTACAAGGTACTCAACCCTTTCAACTGTACTTATGATGTACTGTTTTTTATAGAATGAATTTGATGCTTCTTTCTGTTTAGTTTAAAATAAAATACAATTTAAAAAAAAACAAAAAAACACACCCCAAAATGAATTTTGGAGACCCTCTGTGCTGTCCAGACTCTTATTTTTGACTAATGTTTTATAAATATCCTCCGCACACACCCACACCTTATTGTATTTGTTTTTAATTCCATACCCTCCTTTTTTGAGGTTTTCTGATGGCAGAGAAGTAATGACCAGTAGGTTGAAAGTGTTCTAGGCCTAATTATAAAATGTTGCACCACTGGCATCTCTGCTCTGCCTGTGATGTGTGGGGTTGGGATAGCCAAGCTTAATTCTGTCTCTGCCAAGACATCTCAGTGAATAGATGGGCCCTGAGTAGAGGCTATCAAGCTCTCTCCATCCTGACACTTCCAATGAGAAGTTGGCCCAGATGACCTCAGAGGCCATGTTTTTGAATGTGTATGAGTCAGCCAACTCCATTGGATGCCAAGAGATGTCACCAACACTAGCCTTTTTAGTACATATCTGCTGATAGAAGTCTCAAAGCTATCCAGGCCAGCAGTCGAAAACAAACAAGGATCAGAGGATCCAAGGTTGAACCTCAACTCAGGCCTCAACCTGTGCTTTGTGGGAGAGCCAACAATACACTGAGCTGCTGCTAAGCACCAATGGAATTTTGCACCAACTCTGCCAAGAACAGTGATGCCTGATATGCTTATGTCTGATCTTGGATCATGGTGTTTGGAACCAGTGAGAAAGTGGTGGTCTCCTTCCTTTCCACCATCTCACTTGTTAATAAAACTATAATTTTTAAATATCTCCATTTGTCCAGAATTCCACCATCATACAAAACTGGCACAAACGGTTTTGTGAAATTAGAAGAACATTTTATAAGGTTAGACATCACTGTTCTTGGCACGGTTGGTGCAAAATTCCATTAGTGCTTAGCAGCAGCTCACTGAATTGTATGGTCTCCCAGGAAGCACAGATTGAGGCCTGAGTTGAGGTTCAACCTTGACTCCTCTGATCCTTGTCTGTCTTCAACTGCTGGCCTGCCCTGTGTAAAGCTTCCATTAATTCTATGTCTGATGATAATGGCACTGATAAGTCACGTCACTGGGTCAAGAGTTTGTTAGGACCGACTGAACTCCCTGATGTTTTTGTTTCTCGGTCTTACTTCAACTGTTACGTAGATGTAGGCACTGAATCACACTAATGACACTGTAATGATTCTGAGTTTGAAGCCATTGTTGCTGTGAGCATGCCTTGGGCATTGGCAACGATACCATGTCCCAGTTGTCCTTGCCTTTGTATCTCACTTGTGTCAGCTTCAGTAACTTCAACGGTGTACATGCTAGTTTATTATACAAATACATCCAATACCCAGATCTGTTCAGCAGACTGAATGTATACTTGGGATGAAAGAGATAATGGTAAAATCATAGTAACTGATTTTACCTGTATGTATGTGGTACGAGTTGTCTCTTCAGATTAATTCCAAATCTCCATAGTAGTGAAGTGAGAACCTCATTTCCCTGTCCTCAGAAGTGAAAATGTGTATGGTGAAACATATTTTCCTTTCGTAGACCACTGTCTTGACAGATGTTCTTTGTCAGAAATTTGAATTTTGTTAAGAAAACAGTTGAAATAACTTAGTCCTGATGTGATTTCAGTCTTTTTTTTATTAAGTTGGTTTATTTAAAGAGCCTGTAAGGCTCTGGTAAATATCTATCTGGCTTTCACACTGTAGAAATTCTTATGAAATAAGCCAGAAAACCTTCCATTTTCTGTTTCATTTGAATAATGAGCGAAAGAGATGCTTCAGTAATCTGACTAGTTCATATACTGATCTGTGACTGTAAAGACAAATTAAAGTCCTTGATACTGGGAAATTTTGATTTTCTAACTTGTTTAATCAAAATGAGTTAATACTAAGGTCTACATCAGTGTAACGCCTATTGAAGTTGAGAATAAACTGAATAAATGAATATTTAGCACACTTATTGTTGTATTGATTACCGGTCACAAATTTTTGGACATGAAGCCTTTAGAAAAGAGTAGAGATTTCTATTCATATTTGAGATGAGTTCTTGAGTCAAGGAACAAGATTTTCCTTAAGGGAGTGTTCCCTCAGATGGGGAGAAAGGTGTTGCAAGGCATATTGTTTTGAATCTACAAACAATAAAGATGGATTAATTTACCACAGTAGCAGTCCATGATATAAAGATACAAATTGTACTGGTGAATACATTAAAATCCTGGGCAGTATTGAAAACTATAAATATTTTAAACCAGTAGAAGTAAAATTAAACATTGAAAATAAAACTTTATAGGGCATATTTTGTTCTTGAACATCTTTGTTGTTTTCTTACTGACTTTTTTATTTATTTTTTATAAAGTCTGCCACTGGTGTGTATCTGACAGCTTTACCGACCCCTGGTGGTATTCAGATTGCTGGGAAGACTCCAAATGATGGCGCCTATGAACAGCATGTTTCTCACATGCAAAAAAAAATAAATGATACAATAGCAAAAAACAAGGAGCTTTATGAGATTAACCCTCCTGTAAGTAAAATTTATACAACTCTCAAAAAGAATTCCATGTCAAATGCAGTTCATACTAAACTAGTATGGTTACTGATCCATAACTGAAGAGGTTTGATTTGAGTGCATGGTTATTTATCAATATGAAAATCCCTGAGCTCTCTCTGAGGCAATCAGAGCAGAGATTTATATAATCACCTTATTCCAGATATGTAAATCTCTCTGTTCTGAATGTCTGAGAATGTCTTTAAAATTCCCCATTCATTTGTCCAAATCAGATACAGCATTTTAGGGATTAGGGAGTTCTGAGAGCAGTAGCCAGTTGGAGTGTAGCTGTGGAAGGCTAGAAAACATCTTTCACTCTAATAGTCTGCATGTACTCCTTGTTAACTTGGTAATAACATATCCTTTGGCTTAGGGCTTTTAGCTCCAGCTGTAGTTGTAGCCTCATAACCAGAAAGCACACTCAAGCTATCATTTAAATATATTTGTGGAGTAGCTAAATATTAATATGGTATACCATGGTTCTATAGCTAAGAGTCCACTCTAGCCTCAAATATGCATAGCCGTCTAGGCTTCACAAGCTAGCTCCATTGCAGACCATAGAGAGAGAGGTTAGTCTGCGCAGAGAGCCTCTTGAAATCCTCTATTCTTACATGCTAGGAGTTGAAGAGCAGCTGAAGGGGAGAAAAAATAGTATAAATATAATTCCCATCTCTGTCGCTTTGCAGTTCCGTAGCTGCCTGGATATTCCTACAGTTCTCCTGCTGGATTAGCTCTTCTTTAGTCCTAAAATAGGGAAGGGACAAGTCCTGGCAGACTTAAAAAATATGCACATGAAGAAAAAAATATCCTTAATTTTGTATGGAAACTGGGAGCATCTATCGTACTCTTTCCACTTTGATCCTTCCATTTTCATCATTGGAGAACAATACTGTGGGAGACTTCTGCCCCACACAGGTATTTTTTCGTAAGATGACCTGTAGGCTGGCCAGTAGCTGTCCCTCTTTCTTAGAACCTTAGGAATTCACTGGTCCCAATACAGAAGTAGATTCCAGAAAGGGAAGTATGGGAACTCATCCTGCCCAAGAACCAAACTGGGACTCTGGCAAGAGTGGCGTTCTTGTGCACATGAATCAGCACTAGGTAGCCACTCCCAAGAAGGAAAATTAATCTTTTTTTGAAATAGTTATCTTTACAGCTGTGTAGCTGGAGGTATCATTGACCACTGTGAGGCAGAAAACATTGAAGTTGCTTTCGGCCGAATAGGGCCCCTAAGCCTGTATCAACAATTCCAATATAAATCCCATTTTTCTGTGATTTGCAGCTGCCATAAAAAAATTATTCTAGGTTGAAATGCTCCAGGCAAAGTTCTCTCTCTACCTCTATCTGATGGTTTTTTAATGCATCCCATTCTCCTTAGTAACTGAGGCTGTTTATGCTACAAGCGCTACAATGGTGCCACTGCAGCATAGGCACTTCCTACATCTACAGAAGAGGTAGTTAATCCACCACTCTAAGAGACAGTAGCTAGGTCGACGGAAGAGTTCTTCTGTCAGCCTTGCGGCATCTACACTGGTGACTAGGTCGACCTAAGTACCGTGCTCAGGGTATTAAATTTTTCAGTGTAGACCAGACCTGAGTGGCCTCTAGGTTAATTAGATTGGCATAGTGAGGTCTCTAATAGGTGTCATGGAGTCTTCGGCTCTTTGATTACAGGAAGCTCTCTGCATTACACATCCTACATATTTTTTTTCAATAGACCAGAATCACTTCACCTTCCCCTGTAAACTGAGATGGTCTTCAGAAGATCCTTAGCAGATTTTTTGTTCTTAACTTTCCTCTTATAAGAACAGAAATAAGTAAATATGGTACATTTCATATAATCCTCAATGTATCCAAAAACTGTTGAGGTGGAATGGATGCAATTACTTCCAGATCTGGTTAATGTTACTCATCACTGATAGGGATAGCGTTGATACGTTTTATTCCTCTCTCTCAGTTGGATGCAGAATATGCAACATCTCAGTTCTTAAACCTGAGGGGAAACTGATTGGGACAAAAAATTAAAATAACAAAAAATGTACATTGTGAACAGGTTTTTTGTCTTAAATAGTTAGACTTCAGCGGTTCAGCTATCATTGTTATTCATAGATCTGACATATTTCTTAGTCACTGTGTGCATATGTGTATAATTAAAAATGAGTTTATTTCACTGTTTGTCATTACCAAGGGACATTGTATAAAAACAGACTTTTTGTATATACAACTCTCTTTAGGTCACCACAATTGGCTGCTGTGGAGCTAAGAATTAGCTGCTAATTCTTACTCCTTTCCAGAAGCAGTAATCGTGTCTGGTATAAGTAGCAGGAATGACTGAAATGAGGGAAATAAATTTTGTATGTATCCCTAGTAGTGATAAAGAAAATTCTAAAATAAAAGGGCAGGATGGAATTAAAAACAGAAAATATGATTTATATTGTCGGCAAAATTACTTCTAAGTAGAATGATGTTCAGAATGTTCTGAGTCTTAGAACTATGTGATGGCAAGGTGTTAAAATTTCAAAATAGTTTTAAGATGTGGAGTACATATATGAATTTTATTGTAATACTGTTTTCAGGAGATACCAGAAGAAATCATAGGGTCTCCCTTTCCAGAACCAAGACAGCGTTCCAGGCTGCTAAGATCTCAGTCAGAAAGTTCTGATGAAGTTATGGAACTGGACCTTTCACATGGGAAAAAGGATGCTTTTGTCTTGGAGGTAATATCCATGTCTATGATGCTCATGCTCCTGCCTTTCATCTTGAAAAATGTATGGAAAATAGATAAAGGACCTCTTAATTATTTCTAAAGTATCCTGAATTGTAGAGCAGCTCATTAATTTTTGTATCAATAGAAACTCTTAATTGAAATTTGAAGCACACCTCTGTTCCTCTCTCCTGTTGTTCTTTAGCACATCTACTGTCTGCATATGAACCACATCCTAAAAGATATCCTCCTCTTGGTCATCTTTGTCAAGCAGTACCTAGATGCTAGTAAAAAGCAAATGGGCGATTCTTTTTCAGCTACAAAAAAGACAGGCAGTCATCACTGATGGGAGCCTTAAATAGCTTGTATGCTACACCTCAGCATTCAGTGTTGAAACCCAAAAATTACATTATTTTTGTGATCATTAATACAATTTATTTATTCTTTGAGGCTCCTATTATATTGTCTTTTTCTATGTCTGAGGAGCTGGAATTCTTTGTGTCTAACATTTTATTAGACTAAATGGCCTTCAGAAAACAGAAGAACCTGGAGTGCTCTGTCAGGTGAAGAGGTGCATGTTATAACTTAATATTTGAAGTGTACTTATTTATTCTGAAGTTAAATTGCTTTTTAATGAGCATATATTTAAATGAATTAAATACTTTGAAGTACTGTGAGAAGTGAAAAAATAAATTGTTTTGTTTCCCTGAAAGTGCTAAATCAAAAATTCTTGAATTTTAAACTTGAAAGTGGTGGTCAAATGATAATTATACTAAAACCTGAAGAAATGGCATGTTGTTTTTTATTTTTTTTTAATCTTGATTAGTTGTTTTGTATTTTGTTCAGTTTGCCTCTTTATTGATCCAGCTCGTCTTTTTCAGAAGCAAATATGAAATTTAAAAACTTCGGTATGGTTTTTCAAAACCGGGTGTCTAAGTTTGGGCTAAAGCCCTTATTTAGGAATCTAAATAAGTTAACTGATTTTCAAAAGTGCTAAGTACCCAGCAATTCCCAAATTAGTCATTTATTTAGGCATCTAAATAAACTCGACTTTTGTATCTAGAAACAACCTTGTTGTAGTATTTTTGTCTTATTGACACTACCAATGTGTTTTATTTGTTTCAGATTGATGATACAGATGCAATGGAAGATGTACATTCTTTACTGACGGATGTTCCACCACCTCCAGGTCGAGTAAACAAAATTCTCATGCTATGTGATTAAAAATAATAGTTATATAAACTTTTGGCAGTCCTTTTCACAATATGCTGGATAATGGAGAATTGTTTTATTTCATTCAAGGTCAGAATTGGAAAAAAAAATTCCTTGAAATGCAATATTGTGGGTCAAATCTCACAGAGGACAAATGCTTTGTCTCTCTTGAGAATATGCTGATTGTAACTTGAGGCAAGGAAGATTGCTTCCCAATACACTGTTGTGTGCTGATCGTCTTTTTGTATCATAACTGGAAGTTCAACATAGTAGTCATTTCCTTGTAGAGTGAAAAGTTTAAAAAATCTTGTGTCTTTTGCATTAGTAATTCAGTATCTGCAGATTGTTATATTCTGGACGGCTGAAATGTAGGTAGAGGGTTCACTGGATGTAGAAGTATTGAGTCAATATATTGCTGCAGTGACTTTAGCCATATAATATGAGCTGTCCACTATGTTTTATTCCAGGAATGTTGTTTAAACTAAACAGTATTACTTGTTATATCTCGCGTGTTGTCAAACAACAACTTTTATATTTTTTCTTTCAATGTGGCAACATTCATTTCCATGGTGCTCTCCATATGAAAATCTATCTCTGTCTTCCACTGGAGCTTTCCAAACTGGCGCTTTCTGTTGAGGAGAGACAGTTCAAGAAGACATGGGTTTCTTAATTATTTCATCCACAACATCAAGTTTTTCATCCAAATCCACTGTGCTTATTTTGTCTAGAAAGCAGCAGTGTAATAAATAATAGCAAACTGGCTATGCGGGGGGGGGGACTAATTTCTTCAATACTTGCTAAAGTCCTTGTGAATCTATAAACATCAGAGTTTAGCACTGTACAAGAGTATTAGATTTTCAGAATACAATAGATGCCACAAAATGAATTATTGACAGTGTAGCAGAATTGATTCCTCCCACCGTTGAAGGTGACCTGTGGCACCCTCCTCTATGCCAATCAAGTGAGAGCTCATAACCCATAACTGCCACCTTCCGTGTTGAGTCCATATTGCCAGCAAGGATGGAGTGTCCTCTCCATATGATGTCGCTGCAATAGCCTGGGCAGTTGATATGGAGGAGGGGCTGCTTTGCCCATGTGTCAGCGTCCCCCTCTTGACTTCACTGGTTTGGACCAGAGGAGGGACGGGAGTCAATACATTTGGAACCAGCTATGCTGCAGGAGTTGCCAGTGCCAAGATCTTCCATCTGCCTGCCTTTCAGGGCTCCACTCTAAGATTGGTTGTCGGCCACAGCTGAAGGGCCCAATCTGTCTTGTGTGGATGTCGTTGGCAAAAACACTGAGTGAGTTTGCTCATCCACCTTTTGATGGCATTTCCTCCATCAAGGGTTCCACTGCCCTCCAGGCACCATCAGCCCGAAGCCGTTGGCGCTTCCTGAGGTTTCTGGGTTAATTAACCGCCGCCCAGCACTTGGCATTGACCAGTACAGGTTGTACTGCTTATGGTCATAGCGGTAGCAGGTTTTCAATTCTGACCTGATAGAGCTAGATGTGGAGCCCACTGTAGAAGAGCTAAGCAAGGCCAATGATTTACTATCAAGTGGCAAGGCTCCTGGAAAAGATGGCGTCCCAGCGGAAATCCTCAAGTGCGGGAAAGACAGCCTATTACCATATCTTCATCAGGTGCTACTTAAATGCTTGAAAGACGGTGAGATTCCACAGGAGAGGCATGATGCAAACATCATCACTTTATATAAAAATTAAGGCGAAAAGGGCGACTGCAACAACTACAGGGGTATCTCGCTACTAAGTGTAGCAGGAAAAGCTTTTGCAGAAGTCATCTTAGTGTGCCTACAACAGCTGGCGAATCAGTTCTACCCTGAATCACAGTGTGGATTCAGGGCTGGAAGATCAACTATAGACATGATATTTTCTCTCTGTCAACTCCAAGAAAAGTGCAGAGAGCAAAACCGACCATTATACATCGCCTTTGTGGACCTAACCAAAGCATTCAACACAGTCAGCAGAGCAGGTCTATTTGCTACACTAGAAAAGATAGGGTGCCCACCAAACTTGTTAATTCTTATATGTTCATTCCACGACAACATGAGAGCAACTGTCCAGTTTCATGGGTCTACTTCAGACTGTTTTGAGATGAAAAGCAGAGTGAAGCAAGGATGTGTTCTTGCCTCTACGCTTTTTGAAAACTTCTTCTCAGTACTCTTGAACTGTGTGTTTAAGGACATGAAAGATGGAGTGAAACTCTTTCAACCAGTCCCGACTTAAGTCAAAGACCAAAGTCAAAAAGGTGCTAATCAGGGAACTTCTATTTGCTGCTGCTGATGCCCTCATAGCCCACAATGAAGATCTACTACAAGAACTCATGGACTGCCTTTCAAGTACCTGTCAGGCACTTGTTCTCACCATCAGCAACAAGAAAACAGTTGTATTAGGACAGGGGGTTCCACAAGATCATTCAATTACCTTAAATGCAAACCAGCTAGAAGTAGTCCAGAAGTTCAGCTGTGTAGGTTCTACAGTGACCACCAACCTCTCGCTGGATGAAGAACTAAATGTTCGCATTGGAAGGCTGCCACCACCTTTAGCAGACTGACTAAAAGAGCATGGAGCAACTCAAAGCTTACCATCAAGACCAAAATGCTAGTGTACCAAGCTTGCATCCTTAGCACTCTCGTATGATGAAGAAACATGGACAACTTATGCACATCAGGAGAAAAGGTTAAATAGTTTCCACCTACGTTGTTTACGCCTCATACTCAACACCAAATGGCAGGATAAAGTCACCAACACAGAGGTTCTTTGAAGGGCATTATTACCAAATGTCACAGCCCTGCTCATGCAAAGACGACTGCACTGGCTGGGCCATCTGAGTAGGTTTGCAGATGAACGCATACCCAGTGACATGCTATATGGGAAGCTATCAGAGGGAACAAGAACAACAGGGCGCCCCAAGCTTCGCTATAAAGACACATGCAAGGGAGATATTAAGGAATTTGGAATTGATTCTGAGCAATGGGAAATCTTGGCAAGTGATCGTAACAAGTGGTGCCATCATCTCCATCAGGGTATCAAAGTCCATGACAGGAGCTGGCTCCTACAGCTTGAAGAGAAAAGAGCCCATAGGAAGCTAACTGCTCCCAACCAAGATACATACACTTGCAATAACTGCTAAAGATCATGCAAATCTTGGATTGGACTATTCAGTCACATGAGACATTGCAAACCATCTACATCGGTGGTCACCAACCGGTAGATTGCGATCGACTGGTCGATCCTGGAGCCTCTGCCAGTCGATTGCAATCTCCGTCCGCTAAAAGTCTGGCGGGGCTAAGGCAGAGGCTCCCTGCCTGCCCTGGCCATGTGCCGCTCCCAGAAGTGGCCAGCACCCCCCTGAGGGCGGGTGGGGGGGAGGGAACAGGGATCTCTGTTCGCTACTCCTGCCTGCAAGCACTGCCCCAGCAGCTCCCATTGGCCTGGAATGGGGAACTGTGGCCAATGGGAGCTGCGGGGTCGGTGCTTGCAGGCAGGAGCAGCACGCAGAGCCACGTGCGTCTCCCGCAGGGGCATGTTGGCCGCTTCCGGGAGCGGCGTGGGGCTGGGGCAGGCAGGAAGCCTGTCTTAGCCCTGCTGCGCCACCGCCCGAGGTAAGTGCTGCCTGGTGGAAGTCCGCACCCCAGCCTTGAGGCCCTGCTCAGAGCCAGCACCCCAAACCCTACTGCACCCCAAGCCCCAGCCCTGAGCCCCCTCCCAGAGCTAGCACCCCATACCCCCTCCTGAACCCCAACACTCTGCCCCAGCCTGGAGTCCCCTCCTGCACCCAAACTCCCAGAACTTGTACTCCTCACCCCCTTCTTCACCCCAACCCCCCTGCCCCAGGCTCAGCCCGGAGTCCCCTCCACACTCTGAACCCCTCGGCCCCAGCCCAGAGCCCAAACCTCAACCCCCTGCCCCAGCCCGGTGCAAATGAATGAGAGTGGGAGAGAGCAAGTGACGGAGGGCGGGGGGGATGGAGTGGGTTTGGCTTCGGGCAAGGGGCGGGATAGATCCTGGGTTGCACTTAAATTCAAAAAATGATCTTGTGTGTAAAAAGATTTGAGACCACTGATCTACATCATAGTCTGCAATTCCCACTGTCTCTCACATACGAAAGGATGCCAACAACAGCAGAATTGATGCTAGAACTTCATATGAGATTTTAGTGGTCTATGTGTCTATTATTTAGCAACATTGTTGCTGTTTTAAATATGTATATATTGCATAATGTGCTACCTACTACAACATTGTGATCGTTTCTTCTTTGGAAAAAATTATTCCTACCTTTTGATTCTCACTTATAAACAATCTTTTTGTTTGCTTGGTGGGGTTTTTTTTTTTCTGGTTTCAATGTCTCTTTTCTAAGAACTTGTATTTTCCTTATATTCTTTGAAACAGTATTTATTTGTTTTCCAAAATTCAGATTGGTTTTCTTTTTTCTTCTTTGTTATACCAATCTCCGTTAGTTCAAATTTTCTTTCCTCATGTGTAATAATGATATAGTTGATATAGAAATGTATATTTAAAATAGAATTCTTTAAGACCAATTTCCTTACTCTAGGATTCAGCAACCAACAATACATTGCTCCTCCTGGAACTTCAGTACTCACGGCCCCAACTCCATTATAAACTTCATTTTAATAGCAAACAGCTAGTTATATCATACTCACCTTTTAGCTTTCAAGAATATCCTTATAGAAAATAATGGCAGTTATTCTTCATAGATGTGAAACGTCATCTTCATGTTGTTGCACATAGTCTTCTTTTATCATGCCTTCCAGCTTGCTTACATTCATGATATCCATAGTATCCACTCATGTATGAACTTTGACATGCAGTTGCAGGACTTGTTCTAAATTTCCTTTAAGTATAGCTTTCATGAAATATAGAGTTTTATTTGAAAGCCACAAGAAATGTTATTAAATATACCATATTGTGATCATATTTACATAACAGTCAAACAATGGCAACATTTATGAAAAAGAATCCTGGTGTAAAAAAAAATCAAGCATTTCCAGAACTAGTCATTTGTTATAATTGAGGATTGTGTGTATATTATGCAAGGTGATAAACAGATTATCCCAGTAATTATTACATTTCGCAAGACAGATTTTTAATCTCCTAAATAATTAGGGCTGTTGATTAATCGCAGTTAACTCACGCGATTAACTAAAAAAAATTAATTGCGATTAATTGCAGTTTTAATCACACTCTTAAACAATAGAATACCAATTGAAATTTATTAAATATTTTGGATGTTTTTTTATATTTTTAAATATAGTGATTTCAATTACAACACAGAATACAAAGTGTACAGTGCTTACTTTATTTTTTATTACAAGTATTTACACTGTAAAAAAACAAATGGTGAAAAGAAAACTTTTATAACACTTTATCCTGACTTGCTGTGCAATACCCCATTTTTAGGTTGTATGCTCTTCTGGGTCTGACTGTCTTGCTTTGTGAGTCATTTTTTGGCAAACGAAAAAAAGATTAATAATATACACATTATAGTAATGAAGCTTTATACTTTTAAGAATATTTATTCACTAATGCTTCACATTTTTGCTGCTATGTAGGTTTTTGCAGAAAATATATTTAATCTTTGTTCTGTATTATGAAATACCTTATGTTTAGAATGCTGGTATATTACTGTAGTACTGCTATATGTTTTTTAATTTATGCATAGCAACATTTGAAAAAAGTACTGTGGAAAGTTAATTTAACTTTTGTCAAACTGTGCACTACTTCATACACAGCACATTATATAACTTTGTGAATATTTTCTTTAACAGGTTTTTACAGTTGTAACACAGAAATTATGCCTGGCATAAATAACTGGACTTCTGATATACAGGTAAAGTAGCTTTTAAAAACAAAAAGACCTTTTAAAACCAAGCTTGTATACAAATATACTGTTGACATTGCAATAGATTTTAGAGTAGGTGTACTCTGAAAAATGAATTAAAAATGACACCCCCTTACTCAACGTATCCATTCCTTTTGTTTAAACTGATATAACTGAGTTGTGACAAAAATAAGTTTTTATTGCTTTATACTCCCATTGCATTGCAGAATCAGTTCAGCCAAGAAAGTGTGAGCTGTATTGTGCATAGTCAACAGAATAGTTTTTAGAAGATCCACTTAGTTATACCTGTGCAATTCCGTTCAAGGTAAAGGGGTTGCATGGGTATAACTATGGGTATGATTTGGCCCCCAGAACCTGGTTTGCTGTTGAGTGACAAGGTAAGAACCTGGCTGGCTTTCAGAGTCAGTCCCAGATGAGGTTGAATACCTAAGCTTATGCTTAAAAAAAAAAAAAAAAAAAAAAGTTGTATTTTTTGAGAGAGACACCCTTTGTGTGTCTCTCACATGCTCTCACAAAATATTAATGTTAGATTATCTATCTATCTATCTATCTATCTATATATATATATATATATACACACACACACACACTCTTATATGTGAGGCAAATAAAAAAATGCAACATTCCCTTTTTTCCACAGCACTACTTTGTCACTAATCATTTTATATATTGATATACAGTTCTTTATAAAGTTTCCTTTTGTTTATACAATTTCATAAAGGACAAGTACGTTCCTCCAGTATCTGATCATAGACTGTCATTTTTGTTTCTTCCTCTTTCTCTATTCACCATGACCACTAGTGCTAATTAATGTCTTTAATCAATTGCTTTGTTCCCACTATTGCAACATACAGATTTTAAATTGAGGAAGATAAAGATATAAACTTTTATGTTTCTGCTTCAGATGTTCACCTCAGTAAGAGTATCCAGATTAAGCAACATTAACCTGACAAATCAAACACTTAACAAGAACTTTAATGATCTCTGTGAGAATCTGCTTAAGGTAAGAGTCCTAGTTTCCAGATGTATGTATTTATTTAAATAGAGGTAACATGGAATTTAGGTTACATTGCAAACACCCCTTTGTATTTTCTTTAGGCTTACCTTTCAAAATTATAGACTTGTTTTCGGTTGTATCTATAATTAGTTCCTGAGCAGTTCTACAAATATTTAAAATGCTGGATATGATGCTAATAGCTCCTGAGACACATCAAATCAGAATAAAATCTTTGACTCGGCATGTTATAAAAATAACAATATTAAGCTATTGGACAGAGCAGACAACATACCATAAACCTTTAAACCTCAAGTGAAATCACTAATTGAGTCTCAAATAAGAGAAAATAATAGTTTTATTAGGGTAATTATTTTTACTGCATAAAAGAAATGTAGACTTTTGTCTTTCCAGGATAAACCCGATATAGAATTAACATTTTTTTTAGAATAACACAAATAATGTATTGTATTCAACAGAGTCTATATTTTAAGCTACGATCTATGATTCCCTGCTGCCTTTGTCACGTAAATTTTACAGTGGCTCTTCCAGAGGATGAAGTAATTCAGGTAACTAATTTTGTTCATTTGTTATTAATGCCACTTTGTTTTCTGATTACATTAGATCTTGCAAAATAAACTAGATTAGATTGAGTCACTAGTATGCTGAAGGAGCTTTAAGGAAGAACTATGTGCCACAAGATGTGTTGTTCATTCAGTTGTTCACAATCTCCCTCTGATTATATGAAACAGCACCACAGCACGTTATTGTGCTGATGGAATGCCATCTTTCCAATGAAATATGAAATAGAAAGTCCTGACTAGTTGCCTTTAAAGCTGCTCTATGGCACATACAATAAAAATATGGCTGCTTAATTCATCATCCTTTACAAATTCTAAATTTGATAACTTCGTTTTGGCTACCTAATTTTTTCTTGCAGTTTCAAGAGGATGCAGTATATTTCTTCACTTTTAATACATGGTGTGTTTTGTTGGCGTAAGTTATTAAGCAGCTCCTCTGTTTTCAACAAGAGTGTGGCTTCATTTCTGTGGCCAGGGAACAAATTCCTTTATATTCCTTACCTACCTCACAAAGTACAGTGAGACTTAACTCATATTTATAAGATGTTGTGCAATCCTCTGATGAAAGGCAAAGAATTGATGAAAATACAAAGTCCTAATTATATTTTGGTTTTGTTGACACACACTTTTTTTTTTTTAAACTTGGCTCAAACATGTTCGGGATCTTTTGACAACAGATCCTAGCCAATATCAGCTCTTAGACCATCTCTGCCATGGAAGGTTGTTTCATATAATATCTGCTGTGTTTCTTCATTCTAGCAATGACTGCCATTTTGTTAGCTTCTAATTTCTATGATTAAGGGCCTTAAACATTGTTATTTATATAGAACATTGCCATTAATGGGTTATGGCATTTCATAGGTATCTCTGCTCACAAGACAGCACCTTGAATATAGTTAATAAAAATGTAAGTGCTGCTAAAAAACAAACAACTTATTTCTACTCCCAATAAGGTGCATGAAGTAAATTTTCCCCATAGTAGAATGTTAATTTTGGCAAAGCTTTTTGGAAGATCGTACAAGAGAGATTTTATACTAACAATATGTACTGTATCTTTTGATTGCAGATCACAGTCACAGCGGTTGCAATAACATTTGACAAAAACCAAGCTTTACAAACCAGTAAAGTCCCTGCAGAAAAAACATTGCAAAGGGGTAAGCATTTTGAGGGAGGTGAAATTATCAATTCTTCATAATCATTTGTATAGGAAAGATGTTTACTGTGTAGTGGATGATATCACTTTTAGTTTATCAATTCAACCACACACTTCTTCACTGGAGAACTCTCTCTAGTCAACAGACCTGCAACTATATGAAAGAAATTCTTAGCCTTATTCCGTGCTCCAGTTTTTTAAACAAACTTTTAAATAGATTCTAAATGAGTGGTCTACTCATGCATTTTTCTGCTGTCACTGTGCTTTGGAAAAAAGGACGTGTTTATCATGGAATGCTTGTGCTTATTCTTATAAATTGCAAAATCTTTTCACAAGATTTTAGGAAATTCATTATTCATAATGCTTAGAAAACTAGGCTAACTGACTTTTTGGAACTCAATGAAGTGTAAAACATTCTGAAGGGAGTGGAGAAGATATATGCAATTTATGTATGAGCTTGCTAAAGGAGCACGCATGCTAAACTGAAGAAGAATGCATGTTGTAAAGAAATTTAAGTAGACTTTATTTAAACTATTAATGATGGAGCTTGATAATGGGCTACAGAGCAATGGACCTCGAGTTCACTGGTTTAAATCTAGATCAGTTCAATAGTAATTGAAAATAGATCAGTTCAATAGCCTATATGAATTAAACTGATAATTTCAGTCTGGTTCCTGGCACTGAAGTGTTAAGTTCAGGTCACAATTGATATCCTCTCTGCCCTCTCTGCAAAAATGGACTGAGCTTGGAGGTTTGAATTCTTTTCTCACCTCTAGAAATGGCCCTTCGAAGCTAAGTTTGAAAGCGTTCAAATCATTAACTGGCGGGTTGAGGGGGCTTTCTTCGCCTCTGTGTTATTTATCTTGTGTGGATAGTGAACTTAAGTGTCAAGGCCTATGCAACTTCTTTCACTAGCACTAAATAGATAGAAGAACCAGGTATCAATAGGAATTTTTAATTAGATAAAATATAAAAAAAACTACTATTGGATACCATTAACTCAGTTAAGGCAGACCTAAAGCAGTTGGGTTGGTTTTCCTAAAATATTCATATTTAAATCAAGCCCTATTGAGTGGAATTGAGATTTTGTCCAAGTAGTTTTGCAGCTGTATTTATTAGCAAACGTCTAATTGCTTATCTGCACTCAAAGTCCATCACTATGTATTTATGTTGAATAAATGTGTTCTAGTCAGTCCTTACTAAATTAAATCTGTAGTGCTTATTTATATTGGCAAGATTTGGGGTTTCTGGTTAAATATCTGTTTAATGTATGTGTGTATTTCTTCTTTGTTGAAGCCTCTACAGACAATGAAGAGCAGCTACAATTTCCATTGGAACTTTGCTCTGATCCTCTTGTTTCTCAACCATTCTCACCAGCTAAAGGTTGGTTAAATGAAAAGAAAAAAATAATTCTATATGGTGTTCCACTCACTCGCTCCCTCATTGCTGGTGGAGTGTATTCTCTTGAAAGCAGCTAAGTACCATGCTTTGACATTCTTTGCTACCTCAGATGTAATGAAATGCTCTGCCCTTCCGTCAGATTTCTCAAGCGTTAGATAAGAAGGATTGGTTAGCACACTTCTGTCCCCTTCCTTTGTCCTCTCACTTGTTACTTAACAACAATTTTCCACCTTCTGCTCCATTTACTGTATTTAAATCATCATAAGTGGAACCGTTGTCCCTGTGCAGCATTTAGTTTATTGGACTTCTGTCGCCCTGTCCCGTGCTGCCTTGTTTCTTCAAGTAGCACATGTAAAATGACTGCCCACAATACCAGACTCAGAAATTCAAATAACGTTAATAAAATGCATCTTAGTTTATTCGTGGCAAGAATGTTTTATCTTGTGAACTTCGACTGTTGGGCTGAGAAAAACGGCTTATGATTTTCCTTGAACAATTTTTTAAATGAAGGGTGTTCATTACTTAAGAGGGAGCAAGTGAAAGGAAACTTAAGTTTCCCTGACAAATGGCTATTATATTGCTTGTTTAGTGGTTCTTTCCATTGTTAAACAGCTATTGCATTCTACTCCAAAGGTAGCTGCATTTCAACAATGGATGAAGTGTTTCCTGTATAAGTGTGTTAAAGGGCCAGATTGTCAGCTCCTGTAAATCAGTTCCATTTACTTCAGTATGTATAGTAGCTGAGACTCTGGCCCAAATTGTTTTGGAATGAAATAAGTTTAATAAAGAAAGGAGATCATTGTTTATTATGAACATTTCTTTTTGGATGGTTAGAGAGCTCCCCCTTCTACCCGTTGTATAACGTCACATATGCTATAAAAGAAGAAGTTTCACCATTGTTCAGATTTTCAAGAGGTCAATACAGTTAGTTTAGAACAGTATCCTCTTCTGGGTTTTTTTTTTAATTTTTTGGTTCTTTTCTGCTATGATCAGTTTACCTTTTTTATTACTGCCTGTAAAAGGAAAGGTTGGAAAAACTGGGCATGTTTAATCTAGAGAAGAAAAGGTAGGAAGGAGACATCAGTCTTTGAGTATGTGAAAGATTGATATAAAGAGGATGTTGATCACTTGTTTTCCATGTCCACCAAGGTTAGGAAAAGAAGTAATTGGCTAAGTTTGCAGTAAGAGAGATTCAGGTTAGATATTAAGAAAATTTTTCTAACCATAAGGAAAATGTAATGGTGGCCACTCACCCTTTGAGCGCCCCCCTGGTGGCTCATGTAGAACCACTGTCTCAGTTTCCCGTAGCGTGCTTTCTGTAAATGAAGTGAGACATATACACCTCTACCCCGATATAATGCGACCCGATATAACATGAATATAGTTCTTTAACTAGTTAATTGCCGCCCAGCTAATTAAGCAATTATCTCTCCCCAGGTGGATCTGGGAATGCTCATTCTCCTTAATGGAGTCCACAGTTAAGATGGATGCTTGACCTTAAGGGCCATCCCCCATGATAGATAGATAACCACTGGAACAGGTTATCTGGAGAAGTTGAGGAATTCCTGTCATTAGACATTTTTAAGAACAGGCTAGACACACAACTATCAGGGATGGTCTTGATATACTTAATCCTGCCTCAGTGTAGGGGGATGGACTAAATGACGTCTTGAGGTCCTTTCTCCCTTACATTTCTGTGACTCTGTGAAAGGTCTGGTATACATATACAAATTCTATGCAAAACAGAGATGCTTCCCTTTATTTTAAGCTCCACATGGATATTTCAAAGTTATCTTCTTTAAGGCATTGGGTATTATGTAGCCTTCCAAGTATTCTGGTGTCCATCAGTGAGTGCCCTAGATCTCTCATGCCTTTGAGAGTCAGTGCTTTAACAGTTTAGCCAGTTATACAGGAAGAACAGTTGAAAACCCCAGCATAACCATTTCGACCTCTGGGGTTTTTTCCCTTTATCCCTCTTTCCCCAACTGTAATCACAATGAAGGGAGAGGTGAAACCTTCATCATTGGTGTGGCAGCAGGAGACCATTCTCCAAAGATTACATTCAATTTTTTGGTAACTGGCTCTCTTAATTCTCCATTAAATTAAGCGTGATGGCATCCCTGATGTGGCACTTTCTTGGTTTCCATTATTTTATTACACAAACTAGCCTTCTTTCAATATGGATTTCAGTGTTAACTCACTGTAGTATTAGTGAGTCTTCAGTATCTTTTCACTCTATTAATACTAGAACACTTATTTGCATACTAGCCACTGACCAGTAGAGGGTAGTCTGTTCATATGTAAGTAAATCACCTGCGTCAATGTTCTTCACATTTTGTCATATTGTACAAGTACACTGTTCTGGAATCTTTTAACTAGACAGTTATTTAATCTCTTTTGACTGTTTACCTATAGGCACCAGCGTCTCAATGTAATTATATAACTATTTCAAAAGTAAATTAGCTACTCTGATGATAATCCCCCATATTTTACTTACTGTTCTGTAACATTATCATTTGCTTTAATATACTGGCACAGAATCTTTTGGTATATTAAGCACTAATGAAAAAAGAGTGCTTTTATCATCCCTGCAACAGAAGTCTGCAAAGACTCATATTCACATAATAGCCTGCAGACTTTTATATATTATCTCATTTTAAAGCTTTCATAATACACTTTATGGCTTCAGTTTGTTGTTACTGGTACTACTACTACCACCATCACCACTGTACATTGAAGGGACACACAGTCAACTTGATCTAGTGTTGGTAAAGTAAAACCTAAGATTAGTATAACTGAAAAGTTAATGCAAAGAAAATGTTTCTCTCTTTTTCACTTTTAAATAGTACATTTGGTGGCATTTTTTGTATATCTGATTTCATAGTTTTGTTGGTGAGTTGTTTGTCCTATCTCACCTACTAGCTTGATGGCAGTACTCTCATCCAACTCTGTGGCAGGGAGCACATGCTCTTTCCTAGGCCTTTCAAGAGGATGTTTACTTGTAACAGCAGCAGAGTTTGGGTCCAGAAGAGTGAGTGAGGCCTTTTCCCAGAGACCCATCACATGTTCTGGGGTTCATAGCAATCTGTGAACAGTGGGAGCCCCTTTCAGTGCCTGGAACCCTAACAGAGTTTGGGCACCTTGTTCTTCCTCCCCTATGATCCTGAATGTGGCTGGTAGCAATTGGAGCATGGAAGTGGGGCAGTTGAGCCTCTGTCTTCCCTGCACCAGGTTAGGGAGCAACAGCAGCCAGGGAAGGGGTTGTGAAGCCCTCTTCTCTACTCAGATCTCTGGAGACTAAAGGAAGAAGGGGTCCTTGACTTATTGGGTCTCCAGTACAGGTCCTGGAGTAGTTTAGACGTTGGGAGGTTGTACTTTGATGCTGTTGCTGAAGATGCTGGCCAACAGACAGGTATGTGAATGGAGGGGCAAGAAGGGGGCTCTTGGTCGCACCCACTCTCCCTTGCTGTGAAGACTCTTCAGAACATCAGCAGAGAAATAGGAGCATCTTTATATAACTTTAAAAATAGATTTAAAATACATATGTTCTAGTATTTAAAGGGTGATAATTCAGAAATGTGAATTTCTTAAAATTAGAGAATTTTTTTAAAATGTCAAGTTGAGTGTCCTGTTAAGGTACAGCAGATGTTTTAAAACCAGCACAATTTATATAAGTAAATAACAGAATATTAGTATGAATTCAAGTTACTTTACTATTATTGTTCTTATACTTCAAAGAGAGAAAAGAAGCTCTGATCAGTGTAAATAAAAAAAATAATCCACAGACCTAGTAGTCCCAGAAATTGTATTATTTATCATTTGATTTATTTAAGATTAACTTTCTGTACTAGCTCCAGATTGGTTCTGATAAGACTGTCCTACATTATGAAAATTACCCATTGCTGACAAGGGGTGTCAGTAACGAGTGCAGCTGAATCAAAGTTGGAGCATAGCTTAACTGCAAGTGTAGGCAAGGACAGATTGTGTTCAAGTCCTTTTCAGAAAGAAACATCATGTGTCCAGGTCTAGACTTGTAACAAAACTCTGTTCCAGTACCAGTTAAGCTGCACCACTGCTAACAATAAGCTGCACCACTGCTAACAACTCTAGCAAGCAGTGAGTATTTTTTTGTAGACAAGGCTATCGTGGCTCCATGTGACGCTGTGCTAGTTATTTCCGTTAGCCATTCTGAGTAGCCAGAGACCAGTGATAATCCGTTTAGCTATGATCAGTTTTAAAAGTACTCTGTTATAACTGACTTGTTTTTAACAGATTGGAAATGGAGAGACCTGGATGACTTTTGTAAAACGGTGGTGAGACTGTCAGATGAAAGTACAATAGTTTTGTTGTTTGATAATGACACCTTGATCATGCAAGGACAACATAGGTGGACTTGAGCTCTCCACACATGCTGACAGAGTCTGCCCACATGGTTTTCCTTGCAAGAGCTGGGCCTTAGCCTCTGCAGCCGTGTTACCAACCCTCAATTTAATCATGAATCTCATGGTAGTTGATGGTTTTACTTAAAGCCCAGTTCCTGGAATCCTGTGGTTACATGAGAATCTCTGCTTTTGTTTTTAAAGAAATAAGTTCTTAGACCTCATGATTGTGGAGAAAAGTTTGAAAGTGTGACCTGAGTGCACCCTGAAAGCTTAGGAAGCAAAGAAAAAGAGTCCCAAATTTATTATTTTTTAAGTAGAGTCTCGCATACTCTGTTGCTTATGGTAGGCTGAGCTGTACGCCCAATAAGAGAGACCCGCATATTAAGCTGTAGTCCTGATTTTCCTCTCATATCAATGGGAATCAGCGTTACAGACCGACAGACAAATGCCATCAAGTTGAGTGGAGGGCCTTGCTTCACTCTGCCAAAAAACTCACGGATTTTTAAACTATTATGACTCTTTGGCGCCTAGTTCATGATATTTGAACTTTGGGAGTTGAGCAATGCTAACAGTTCAGACTTTTACTGAGTAAATTATGGATATATATAAGGAGGCGGGAAAGGCTGTACCTTGTTTCCAATATCTCATCTGAGAGTCACAATTTCTTGTAAAAATCAGCAAAAAGTGGGAGGCTAAATTCAGTGTAGTCTCTCAAGTAGCTATTTGTAGATGAGTTCAGCTAAGCAAGTCTTTCTTCTAAAATGTTTTATGAAGTCTTCTATAATTTGAGCAGAACATTTCTTGTGCTCTCAAATGAATGTAGAAGAAAGAGTGAGACAGATACATGATATCTATTGAGAAGGTATTGGATGTCTGCCAATTTCCCATTAAATACTAGCTCTTTAATGCTTGACCCCAGAGTCAGGTAGGACTGAGTTAAATATGTTTCTATGTTCTACCGTTAGTGTCTTATTATTCCTCAAGGCTGAGCAGGAAATTCCCTAGGCTAGAAACAAGTACTGTATAATTAAGCCCCTTTGTTTTCAGTTTAAACCAATTTTTTTTAAAAAAAAAAAAAAATCCAGGGCTTTAAAGTAAGTATTCAGTTTTTTCCGATTTCCCCCTACTTTTGTATCATTCAGATATATAAAAAAAAACTTGTTTTATTAGGAAAATACATTGCATGAGATATATGTATTATGATAATACACTAGTTTGTGTGTATATGCAAAGCTGTCTATTGAAGCAAGGCTATGTATTAGTCTAGACGATACACACAATAAACAAGCTCTGAAGTGCGTATGCATCTGAACATACCGATGAATTTCACGCCCTCCATGTACACATTGCAAGCTGTTAGCTGGTAACGGTTTAATGATCTGACACTCTAAAATGGGAAGAAAACGAAAATCCGTATCAGAATACGATTCAGAACACAAGGAAATTAAAGGAAGGTTAAAACAAAAACAAAAACCGGAGAAAAGGATGAAGTTGAGAGTATGCTCTGCAAATGATGTGGCCCAATTATGAAATGTAAATATTTATAGGCTGATAGTTCTAAGTCTGCAACAGTAAACTTTATTCAAATGAAAAGTTTTATTTGGGGATTGTTTTCTTAAACTCAGAGGTGGCATTGTGTTTTAAGTTTTGTTTTAGTTCTGCAGCAAACCACATTGAATTCCATTCATCAAAGTATTTAATCTACTGAATACTTCCCCCCGTCCTTCCATCCACCAAAATAAACCCCGGCATTTACCCATAAAAAGTAATAGTTTTTTTGCACCAATTTTCACCTGTTTTTGTTGTTGTAGTAATAAACACCGATAAATTCCTGGGAAAAATAAAAACTGAAAACGAAGGGCTCTGTGTATAACGGCTTGTTATATAGTATACTACTGAAAACATGGTCTAATCTCAGATGTGAAAGAAACCATCTGTCATAACAAAGAAAAAAAAAAAGAGCAGACATGACTATATTTCATAGAGCAACAAAGTCTATAGGAAAACTCAGCAAAGGTGAACCATGTGGAAAAAGCACATCATGGGGATACAGACACAGTGTATTCTGAGGCTGCTCATTTCTCAGGCATGTTTAACAATTGTTCTTGTATAATTCATGTGATAAGGAATGCCTTATAAAATCAATGGGGAATTTGTTAGAAAGTACTAGAAATAATCTTGATAGGGAGGCTGGAGTACATTGAACAAGTATATGAACCTATGGAGAGGAAGAGAAAGTCCTATGGTCTTCATGCTTGTTGCATTCCTTCTCCAAACAATTTTGAGAGCTGTGTAAATGTCTTGAATGTATCACATTTTTTTGAGTATTGTTGTTACTCATTGAATAAAATGGGATTGGAATAAAGCAGTAATAAGTTGTGTAAAGGCTTTTAAAGCCTAATGGGGAGCCTTCAATGACTGGATCTTTCCCAGAGGGAATAACAGTGGTGATTTGGGCCCAGAATATTAGCCTATCCAGTGTTTCTTATCAAGCTTGAATAATTTGACAGAAGGTAGGATCCTCCTGAAACAGATCCCATTTCTGAGCAGACAAAGCACTCTCAGCTTAGTATAAAAATTGATTTGAACACTAAATTTCTTGGAGGTCACTGGTTACGTCACCCTAATTCCGCAGTATTGCGGTGCCCATGTGAACCCCCATTGACTTCAGTGGAACTCTATACGGGCACTGCAGTGTGCCCACATACAATGAATTGCAAAATTGGAGCCTTAGATGGCCTTCTTGCTTTATTTTGGGGGGAAGGAATATTCATCTTGGCCTGACTTTTTTTTTTTTTTTTTTTCCCAAAATGTGAACAAAATTGCTCAGTTATTTGAGTTTCATGGAAGTTAAAACTGTCTCTCTTCAAATAAATCATCTGAATTTTATGTACTAGTAACTGACTTAAAACATTTTAGGAGGAACTTTCCATTATAAAAGAATTTTGCGACCTGTTTTGAAGAGTTTTCACACCTCTATTCTTTACAGCGGGCCTTTGAAATTTTGCACACAAAAAAACTACCTCAAACTAGGGTCTTATTTTTTTTTTTGGTCCCATGAAATTATTGTTTTGTTTTTTTTAAAGACCTTGATAGGCATTTCTTAAATAACAATAACTCATAATTTTGGCATCTCAGTAGCTATAGCTGTTTACCCAGACCCTGGGTACCAGCATGGGAAGAAGCAGTTTTCACAGAGCTGTTACTTACCTCACCCTGTCTTGCCCACCTGTATGGGTGATGAGTGCACTCTGCCCCAAAGTACCAGCAAGTGTTACTGTCATCATTCTGTGGGAAGTATGCTGTGCCAAGTATAGATCTGGTTCAGAGTACTTCCTAGTACTTTCCATGGGGAAACTGGAAGGCACATTATGTTTCTGAGCATCAGTTTCTGTCTTCTCCTTCAGGGATAGCACAGTTACGACCTGCACGTAGCTTGGGGCTTGGAGCAAAGCCACAACTAAGTCCATAGGAAGTGCGGTATGCCATCCTTCCCCCTCTCTAATAAAAACCAACATAAAAATTTTTGGAAGGCTTGCTCAGTTTCAGGCAGCTGAGGATGAAAAATTCCATTATTATTATGTAAAAACCTTTAAAATAATGTCTTGTGTGTTGGAACAACCTTAGCCAGTTCCCCAGCAACAATTATAACAAAGTTTGGAGCATAGTCAAATATAATTTAAATATCTTAATTTGGATTAGAGTATTGCATTTTTACTGCCCTCTCCTCTATGTAACAGTCGCTTTATGCATATCCTCTATGCTCTGCATTTATGTGCATCCAGTCAACTGGGTTAACCATTAATCTGCTCCATTGCATATATAGACTGTTATATTCCTCCCCAGCCCACTGTAATCTTTTATCTAAATTATACAGATTAGGTTCACTTAATCTTTCTTCATAAATCACACTGTAATACTTTTATAATTTTGTTAACCCATCTACAGATTCTCTCTTGTTTTTGTCTTTTTTTGTTAGCAAGTTGCTCTAAATAGTACCCAAGTACTTCTGAGTGCCAAGGAGTATGTATAGTTTCATATCATAGTGTGTTTTAGATTTAATGGTGAAGTTGATTGTACTATGCTACAAAAGTACATTAATCAGATCCCATAGAGTGTAGTCTTTACCGAATTCATGTTTGTAATGAGACCCTAAAACCACTATAGAGGGGTTTTTTCCTGCCAGTTTAATCTCTAAAATCTTTTAATAGAAGAAAAAAGATCCTTTGTACAACATATCTGTGCAGTTAATGTTGTTCATATGTTACATGAGTGGAATTCGTTTTGTCTTACTAGAGGTCCTGGAGAATGCAAGTTCCCACACAGGTATACCAGCTGCACAGAGAGGTGAGTTTACTTAATTTAGCCATAAGCCAGAACAGGGTGGACATTCCTGGGCCACTGGGCCACACTTTGGATTTGTCTTCATTCACCCAGGAAGTGTTTACCGGTTGCCTAGGAACGCATGCTCTGCTATGGCTTATTGATATCAGAATATGTTTTTTAAAAAATCACAAGAGATAGTTAAGATTATTTGCACTAATTAAGAGAGTCTTTCTGCATATAACTATATCTGCTAGAGAAGTAGTTCCTCAGAGAAAAGTTTTGTTATTTAATTCATTCTGGCTTACTTTAATGTTAATTTGTATTCCTTTGTTTTTACAGAGTAATGTGCTAATGATCAGTTATTAAAAGGCCCTTGGATGCTTGCCAAACTGTTCTCAAGACCAGTTTCAGGGGTACTAACCTAAAAACAAGACAGTGTCATAGCAGAAAAACAACCCTTCAGTTGCCTTTTTTGGGGAAAAGTAATGCTTCAAAATGAAAATACTTGCACATTTAAAAATTGAGAGGTTGTTCCAACTCATGACTTTTACCCTAACCCAAACCATGTGTTTTCAGGCTGAAGGCAGGGGAAGTGATTGATAGTTACATCCAGGAACTTTAAATTCATGATCAACAGCTCCAACAGAAAAAAAGAATAGGAATACAAATTAAGATTAAATAGAGCTAAAATAACACTAAGAAACTAAAATTAGTTACTTAAGGTGAAGAAGCTAGAACAAGGTGCGATGATTTTATTTACACGTGTTTCCAGTGACGAAGTCACAGTCAGTTGGTTCACAGCTGTGACATCACCAGTAATCAGTACACTGCTTTGGACAATATAGGATAGGGCTGGACATTTAACTTTTCCTTTAAACAGACGTGAAAGGGATATTCATTCTTCCTCAGATACAGAAAATTGCTTCATCAAAAGGAACACTGAGGTGGGCAAGAGACGTCATCCATATTTTTTCTTTGTTTTTTCTTTTGTTTTTCTGTCTGTGTTTTCAGCAACGTCAGTTGATTACAGTTCCTTTGCAGACAGATGCAACAGCTGGATAGAGCTCATTAAACTGAAAGCTCAGACCATAAGGCGTGGATCAATTAAGACAAGTAGGCGTATGTTTCTACCACATTATGATAATCTGAGACATATCTCTGATTTCCCAGTGGTGGAGGGTGGAGTTTCCTACCCAGTAGTGGCATTGCAATTCGAAAGCACAACAAATATCCGAGCGCAAAAACTGCAGATGCTTTCTAGTATCTGTTTAAAAATAAATTAATTTAGGAATTATGAGTTAGTAGTTTAAATGCAGAATGCGGTCTTTCTATTCAAGTTGTCGCTTACTAAAAAACAGTTACCAATAAAGTATATAGCTATAAATAGGAATGTTAATTGTATAACATATATGCATACACTCTGTGGGTGTAGGTGTATGTATAAACTTGGAAAAATTTTGGTGAGAAACAGGTAGCAATCACGTAGGTGATAGTCAAACCAATTATCACTAAATTAGCAACTCGTGAGTTATTCTTCAGTAGTTCTTTGGTCGAAGATCTGTCTGTTTTACTTAAATTAGTCAAGATTAAGGTTATCTGAAAGTTGACAATGAAGAATTTTTTAATGGAAAATGCTGCACTGGGGAAACATGACAACTTTCACACTCTTCCTGTAGTAATTTGTTCCTCCAGCAGATATTTATTTCAAAATGTTGGCACCTTTTTTCCTTTACCTTCACTGATAACTGATTGTTGTATGTGCAGTTGCTAGCCTCAATGTTTTCTTTTGCAGGAATGCCACTCTTCCAAATAAATTCCATTGCAGCTTCTTGTCTTTTTGCATGCATTGCATGATAATTTCCTTTCTTTCATGACATGGCTGAACATCACAGGCAGCTGAATATAATCACCAAGCTATTTGGAAACCATAAAGAAGAGTTGTTTTGTTTTAAGAACAAGTCACTGATCATACTCAATAGTTACTTTCTTTTCTTTTCTTTTCTTTCTTTTCCACCTTTTTTAGCTGCTTCTCTTGACAAAGCAAGTCCACTGGCTGAAGGACACTTGCGTCACCGTTCTGTTCCACCATGCACCAATTCTACTGTCTCGGTTGTTAAGATGACACCTCTTTCTTTTATCCCTGGGGCAAAAATAACCAAGTATCTTGGGATAATCAACATGTTTTTTATTCGAGAAACCACTTCTTTACGTGAGGTGAGCTGCATATTAGGACTTTGCACTTTTTTGTGAATTGATAATAACAAAGCTAAATGAGTTTACTGTCTGAATTAACTGTATGGCACAGGAAGAGAGCTGACTTTTCACAACTTAGGCACTGTGTGCTAAGCGACTGGGAGTCACATAAAGGTGATCCTCTTACTTGTTGTTCCTCTTGACATTTATAAAAAGGGCTGCTTCATTTGTTTGTTCTTCAAATTGGTAGGAAGAAGTGTTACTCACCCATGTAGCCAGTAAAATAGCATTACATGGTCAGGGAGCTTACCAGTGGGTCCATTATCGTTGGTGGCCATTTTGGTATAGGCCAAACACAGCACAGCATCCAGACATAGCTAAAACCAGCAAACGAAAAAATGTATATCCTTTGGGGGGCGGGGCAGGGCGGGGCGAGGGATAGCTTAGTGGTTTGAGCATTGGCCTGCTAAACCCAGGGTTGTGAGTTCAATCCTTGAGGGGGCCATTTAGGGATCGGGGGCAAAAATCTGTCTGGTGATTGGTCCTGCTTTGAGCAGGGGGTTGGACTAGATGACCTCCTGAGGTCCCTTCCAACCCTGATATTCTATGATTTCAGTGGCTATTGGAGCTCCTTGGCCCTAAAACTGAGATTTGCTCAAATGCTAAAAACTGATCCTTAGTTAAAGGAAAAGATCAATGGTAAGCTTTCAAAGCATGTATGGCTTTTGTGGCTCCTTACTTAGTCTTATGCAAGGATTCACAAATTACATATGGCCATTTGAACAAGCAGCATTCCAAGCCTTCCCAGCCACATATATCTGAGCTGCTTCAGGAATGCCATAAATGTTTGAAAAGCCTGCCACTGTGTATTAACCAGTGGAAGCAGCTTACTGTTAGTGGCTATCCTGTAGAAGCTTTGGACAGCCAAACGTCACATTTGAATCTTGCAGTTTATGGCCTTGTAATTTACATATCCTCAAAATTTAAGTGAAAACTAGATGTCATTTTTCAAAGTGATATATGATGTAACTTAATCTGTCACCCTAAGGTCTTAGTTTCTCTGTGCCTCAGTTTCCCCACCTGTATTCTTCAGGACAAGGATCCTTTTTTTTACTCTGTTTGCACAGTGCCTAACACAATATTGTCCTCGGATGGAATGTAATACAGTTAGATAATCATAATATATAAAAATGGTTGCTAATTATATCCACTCTTGTAAATTATTCTGAGCATATGTATAGTATTTTCTGTTTACAGGTCTGTCTCATCTTACGCAGGGGTTACGTTCCGCAGTCAGCGCCTAAAGCGAAAATTGCGTATAGTCAAAATTACATTGAGTGTAATGGTGGGCGGAATCGCCCGCATTACAGAAACAGTATTTAAATTGTTATTTTTCTCTTTTTTTTTGGTTTTTGTTTTGTTTTTGCCGACCGCGTAAAGCTGAAATCGCACATGTTAAATGCGCCTAAGATGCGACAGACCTGTATTATTTATTGTGATGGTTTAGCAGTTCCTTTATGGAATATGGAGTGGTCCAAGGCCCTTTAACACTTTCAGAGGTGTTTGCAAAATTCTGTGTTTCAAAAAGTGAAGGGTGCCACATATCTGGTTTATCCTGTGTCTTTTAGATACTGCAGTCTACATGTAGATAAACAGAATCTTTTCCTTTCTCTTTGTATCATTAGATTATTATACCCACTTACTTGGATCATTATTCTATTGACCTTTTTGCACTGATGCTGTAATCTGTGTAGATTTAGATTTTGACGGGTATGTCTGATGCAGATGATAAATTGGTGTCCATACTTTGGGTTTCTCACTTCTTTAGGGTTGTATGCATGGAAATATTGTGGAACAATAAAAATAATTTTGGCCTTTTATCAATTAATCATCATATATATTTCCTGTTTTCTGGCTCCTAACCTCTTTACCAGTGGGTGATACCTCCTTCTATAGTAACTGGGGCGGTCAAAACTTGTCATTCAGGTTTCTAAGATTAGCTGTGCCCCTTTTGCTGCGTGCCAGCTGTGCAGAAACAAGTGTTCCTGCCTTTCATCTTCCATTCCTAGCTTTTGCAGCTATTTTGGTTCAAACACTTCAGTTTCTTTCCTCAGTCCTTTCTGTCTTCCTTCAGGGTGGCTGTTAGTGGAGACTCTCTTCTCCCCTCAAGAACCATAAGTGGAGCATATTCAGTGTCCTCTCCACTCCTCGTCCCAATTTAGTTGGCATGGCACAGCAGATAAACAAGCAAAAGAAAAAACACCTTACGTTTTTCTCTCCATGTGAGAAATCCTATTGGAGTCAACAGAAGGAAAGCTCTATCACAACTGTTCTCAGGGACCTCATTCAGCCAGGGGGTAGAACAGAGAGCACAGCTTCTGTGTCTGGTTTTCCTTCCACCACATGCAGGAGAGACTGTGGAAAAAGCAGGCTGTCATCAGCAGGCATTGGACCACTGTGACAAAAACGGGGCTGTAACTGGAGTTCAAGATGATTACACAGATCCACGTGACTCCTCTTAGTTCCTGTTTCTTCAGGAATTTGAGTTAGTGGAAAGAATTGAGAGGCTGGCCTTGCCTGCAGCTCCACGTATTGTTTCAGATCAGAAAAATCCAGTCCCCTAAAGAGTATGCCCACAATTCCAAACAGCCAGTTTTCTAGGGGAAAAATGTGGACTGTGCAGGAGTGTCTTAAGTATGTGGGTATATACAGGTGATGATTTTGAAGAATTCTAGTTACAGGTAAATAACCTCTTTATTCTTTTCTTGTTTATTCATGTAGCAGGATTTTTTTCATTTGTTTTTCAGCAAATGCTCATTCACCCGTAAGCAGGTGATGCATAACTCTCAGAACAAGTTCAGTCTTTATATTTTACAGGTCACTTTGTACAGAACAAGATGTTGCTCCTCTAAAATATATACCAATCAGCATTCATTGGAAGAGAATCATTTGAAAGGAGAGAAACATAAGTAAGATATCCACTGCTATTTTTAGTGACAGTTACACAAAATCCACTTGTGTTTGTTTTTTCTTTTCAGGAGGGTGGTGTCAGTGGCTTTCTCCATGCTTTCATTGCTGAAGTGTTTGCAATGGTGAGGGCTCACGTTGCAGCTTTAGGGGGGAATGCAGTTGTCTCGTACATAATGAAACAGTGTGTTTTCATGGAGAACCCCAACAAAAATCAGGTAAATTGTGACTGAAATGACAATTTTTCTGACAATTAAAGAACCAGCTGATGTCATATGTAACCAATCTTAGAGGAAAATACCCATGTAAGATGAGGTTATTCTAATCAGTCCACATAACTACAAGGAGGAGTAAGTCTCTCCCTCTCTTTTTTTTTTTTTTTTTTTTTTTTTATATAGTTATGTGGACTGGGGAGAGATCTAGTGGGCATAATCTGACCCAGTAGGAGGTTTTTGATTTGTTTGGGTTTTTTTTATTTTTATTTTAGAATTAGAGTTAACATATCAGAATGATATAGCAAGAACTTAGGTGAATGAATTTCATTGATTTTAGTGTTAAGTCCAAAGGCTGAAAATATGCTCCATAAAGGATATATTTAACTATTTAAAAATTATCTGTCCTTGCAGGCACAGTGTCTAATAAATGTCAGTGGGGATGCAGTGATCGTTGTACGTGAATCTGAATTAGAAATGGTACCAGTGCAACCATCTGCTGCTGTCTCTCAACCCGCAAGTGCCGGAGATGTCACGACATGAAACCAGAAGAAATGGAATGGCTCTACCCGAAGTAAAAAGATCTCTGCAAAATGTGGGAATGTTTAGCTTTACCTCTTCAAAAATCAGTAATTCTCCAAAATATTACAGTCAGCTAAATCTGAGACAATCACTAACCTTCGTCCATCAACTTTACATAATAGCCAGGGCAACATTTTATTGGCAAGTACCCTGTAATTCCATTTTTTTAATCACTAGCCCCTGTGAAATCTAGACAGAAGATGAGGCATTGATCTAAAGCAATTCCATAGAGCTCCTGAAATAAAACAGGAAATTTACCTGTATTTTTTCTTTATGTAGTTGTTTGACAGGGCCAGAACAAATAATAACTCAAACAGTATCTGAGTCTGATAATGCTTGTTCATGTTAATTTACTCTTAGTTAATTTAAGAAACAAAAACTGGAAGATAATCAAGAAACTGGAATCAGCTGCCTTTGAATGAGCAAGAGATCATGAACTGGTTTAAAAAAATATTACCAAATAAGCAGTCGTCTGATATTAAGTCTGTAACGAGCTTTAGCTCATGGAACTTTGAGAGAAAAAAAGCACCAGAAATGACTGTCTGAATTTAGCAGCATGCTAAAATGTTTTTTAACTGTTTGTGAACTAGTGAATATTTTTATTGTACAACATATTTTTTTTATTTTAAATGTTCGATATTGTTGCTGCATTGTAAGCATAACTATGGTAAAACAAAATAAATTATTATATCTGGTTCAGGTTTTACAAGTTCATTTCAATATTAACATTTGCACAATGCTTTTTTTTTTTTTTGCAAAGAGTCTGCAAAATAATGTCTTAAACTACTGAAGTCCAGTTTTTTAGGGCATGATCTTGCAATATTGATATAGACAAAGTCAGAGAGACAGTCACCTGCATATATGGATGCAGAATCAGGCCCTCTGTATTTTGCTATTTGGAAATGCCTGGCTAACTTGGGTAAAAGAACAGTTAAAATATTTTAACTGACATTAACTTCTGCAAGTCAGGTTTCCTTTCAAATACTATAATTGGGAGATGATGGGTACTGCAGGAAAAGGAAACAATACATCTCCAGCAAATCTTTTGAAGACTTTGGTAGAATAATATAAAGACTGACTCTTTAGATTTGAAGACACGTTCATGGAAATATGTGTTGACAACATCTAATATGGAACTTGAATAAATGTGTAAACTTGAATGTAAATATTCTGTGTAGTCAGACCCAAATATCCCATTGTATATGAGCATGAAAATCATATTCCTCTTTGTACAATAAATTTCTGTATAAAACCACTGGATTTTGTTTGTTTGTTGTAGGTCAGCACATAATAGCTACATGCTGAAGCTTTTGGAATGGCATGGCAAACTCATGGCAGATCATAGAATATCAAGGTTGGAAGGGACTTCAGGCGGTCATCTAGTCCAACCCCCTGCTCAAAGCAGGACCAATCCCCAGACAGATTTTTGCCCACAGATGGCCCCCTCAAGGATTGAACTCACAACCTGGGGGTTAGCAGGCCAATGCTCAAACCACTGAGCTATAAAGAACGGTAGAGATTAGTAATCTCTTTAACAAGTTTTTGAATTGGGTGCCCTTAATGGGGAGTTTGTTCATCAAGCTTAATTACATTTTGTTAAATTCTGTGGCAGTGATCAGTAAAGCTTCTCTTATTTAGGGTATGTCTACACTTGCAGAGTTTTTGCGCTGTAAGTTTCACCAGTGATAGGGAACCGGTGAAAGTAAAGCGCTGGTTTGTGTATTCACTTAATTCCTCAGGCGTCCGAGAGTGTTTACATTAATAGCACTTCCATTGCCATGAGAGCAGCGCTCTAGGGCAGCTATCCCACAGTGCAGCTCTCTCCAGTTTGACGATGGGTCTTGTGGGAAGGGGAAGGGGTGATAGCAGGGCATCCTGGGTCCCTGCATAGCCTCCTCTCCCCAAACACTGATAAGCTCCAGTAGCTCAGCATTGCTCCAAGCAGGGGATCGCTTGCTCCCTGGAGCAGGCATTGTCACCTGGCCAGATAAGTGAGCACTTGCCAAGAAAACAGGAAGGAGAGTTTCAAAGTTCCCGGGGCTTTACAGAGGGAGGGGTGTATGTCCGTTTACCCGGCAACAGAGCAGCAGAGCTGCTGGCTAGAGTGTTCACCTAGCCACTGTGGGATATCCTCCCGAGGCTAAAAGCTGTGTAAACAGGAAGACGTGTCTTCACTTGCACATCACTGCAAAAGCATCACTGACAAGAGTTGTATGCCGCTCGTGGAGGTGATTTTCTTTTTGCGGTGAAACTTCTGAGTTTCACTGCAAAAAGTCATTGGCAAGTGTAGATGCTCCCATGGTTTTTGCACAAAAAAGGGACTTTTTCCGCTTTAAATGGCAAATGTAGACATGCCCTTAACGTCTAGAGCAGTGATACTCAGACCCCAGTGATTCAGGAGCCAAATTAGTGATCAACATTACCCAAAAGAGCCACAGTAGTGTGAATTCATTGTTTCATTTACTATTTATATAGATATATAATTAGTTTCACAGCAAAATGACTGACCAAGTATTATTTTATCAACTACAATTGATTAATAACATAGTAAAAGCACCCTGACTGGTTAATAATTAAATCTCACAGTGATTTAATATGTGCTGCAAAGAGTCACAGGAGATGCATTAAACTAGTGGATAGTAAAATGAAAGTGGCCTCTACTCACTTGATTGGCTGTGAGTGAACCAGAAGTTGACTTGTGCCGATTTGCTCCTCCATATGAGTACAATTGATTGGAATATTTAGATTTTCAAATATGATTTAGCTGGATATTTTTATAAGGTGTAATATGTATGGCTGCATCTACTCTAGAGGTCAAATCATGCCACAAGGAAGATGTAAACATTTCCAAATCCCAGTCCCTGTTATAGCCCAGGCAGTGCTCCCAACAAGGCTATTCAGCATCACAGCGTAATTATGCAAATAACAAGGCATGGGTTTATCATACAAGACAAACTGGAAAAAGGTTAAATCTTGATCCACAACCAGTTTAAAAAAGTCATTTTACAGTTGTAGGATTCTCTAAATGTTATTTTGAAAACTTCAAGATGAGAAGAAACACCGTTATCATTTCAAGAAGAGAAAACTTTTTCACATTGTATGAACATTTTAGAATAGAAGAAAATTATTTTCTTCAATTGAAGTGGAAAGATGGTATCTCAACTGTCCCCATGGGCGTCTCACCAAATCAGAATGGCTATCCCAATGAGCTACTTATATGACAAAATATTTCTGTTAAAAATTGATTAGATGGGATGACAGATGAAGCCTTTTACATATAGATCATTGGTTAGAGTCCATATTGTCTGTGATCCGGTGTGCCTGGGGTAGCCCTCACTGGAAATGCCAAGGTTAGGGCAGGCTGCAAAAGGGAGAGCAGATACTGGTGGGTAACACTGAAAACTCCCCAACCAGTCACCAACTGTGCTGCTGATCTCCCCCACTGGTTATCAAGAAGCAAAAAAAGAAATCACACAGCCCCCTTTATTGCATTCCAGTTCTCTGGCTCCCAATCAGCACCTAGGTCCAGTACAGTGAGAAGTTATTTAAAAAACTGTGCTCACCTGTACAAAATGTTCTTTGACCCCAAAGGATCAGCCATGTTACAGTACCAGGTCTGTATAGGTTTGGATCTTACCCAAAATACCACGTTGCCAGCCAATCCTTTAGTATCTAAAACTAAAGGTTTATTATAAAGAAAAAAGAAAGAACAAGAAGAGAGATGTTAAATGGTAAAGCAGTCACATACATACAAAGACTTCAAAGTCCATATATCAGGTTCCTAGCAGTATTGGTGAGTTTGCTGGTTTGAAAGTCCCTCTGGAACACATCCACAGCTTGGATGGGTCATTCAGTCCTTTGTTCAGAGCTTCAGTCTGTAGAAAAGTTACTCGAGGAAAGAAGCAGGATGGAAGATAAGAAGCAGGATTGAAGACAAAATGGAGAAGATACAGCTGCCTTTTATAGTCTTTTGCCATGTATCTTGTGCATCCTTTGTCTCAAACACACACTGTCCAACACATGGCTTGGAAACCATAGAGTTCTGTCCACAGGCAGCCCCTGCATGCCTTGCTAAGTCATAAGGTGTATCCCTTGCCTTCTGTCAATGGGTCAGTTGTATAGCTGATGGTCCTTAATGGGCCATCAAGCAGGCTAGACAGTGCTGATGCCAAACTGTCTGGGGGGTGTCACCTAGAAGCATAGCACAAGTTTTGAAATACAGACATACATACATATCTATAACCCGTGATACAAACATATAAGCAAGATAATCATATCTGGCAATTTATAACATTTTTGCTGATATCTTACATGGCCTGTCTGGCACAACTCATTGCAATTTTACAATATTGATAAGCATAATATCCACAAGTGTCCCCCAGATTCCATACAGTGTCACAGTGTCCTCCATCCAGTTTGGCAGACAGACTAGGCCAAGTGGCCAGAGAACTATCCTTTCTTCTCAAATTGGTCCTTCCAGGGTTGTGAGGAACTCTGGCATACAATGTTGACAAGTTGTCCCAGAAGATTGGTAATTCATATCCTCCCACTTTTATCTTCATTGAATCTTCCACCTACTCCATTATGTCTTGAATCTCTTTCCTGACATTCTCTATCATGCCTCCAAGCTCTCGTTGGAGTCCCTCCACCCAAGTCCAACTTTTATCATAATGATTAGAAATCCTAATCTTTTGACAAAGGGAATAAATAAATTTAAATTTTTAAAAAATTTCAAGAAAAATAGTGAAACTTGTATGCTATGTATTAATCATAGAATCATAGAAGATTAGGGTTGGAAGAGACCTCAGGAGGTCATCTAGTCCAACCCCCTGCTCAAAGCAGGACCAACCCCAATTAAATCATCCCAGCCGGGTTTTGTCAAGCCGGGCCTTAAAAACCTCTAAGGATGGAGATTCCACCATCTCCCTAGGTAACCCATTCCAGTGCTTCACCATCCTCCTAGTGAAATAGTTTTTCCTAATATCCAACCTAGACCTCCCCCACTGAAACTTGAAACCATTGCTCCTTATTCTGTCATCTGCCACCACTGAGAACAGCCTAGCTCCATCCTCTTTGGAAGCCCCCTTCAGGTAGTTGAAGGCTGCTATCAAATCCCCCCTCACTCTTCTCTTCTGCAGACTAAATAAACCCAGTTCCCTCAGCCTCTCCTCATAAGTCACGTCCCAGCCCCCTAATCATTTTCATTTGCCCTCTGCTGGACTCTCTCCAATTTATCCACATCCTTTCTGTAGTAGGGGGCCCAAAACTGTACGCAATACTCCAGATGTGGCCTTACCAGTGCCGAATAGAGGGGAATAATCACTTCCCTCTGATGGGATCGGGATGATGAAGTGGGATTCCCTCCCACTTCACTGATGAATCATACTTTTTCATTATACTTCATTCTATATTTGTCTGTTCATTTAGTTTGTAAGGACTTTAGGGTGGGGACCCTCCATATTAATTAAAAGCCTCATGTAGTGTTAGCACTATATAATGGTGGAACAGTGTGGGGAAGCTGACTCTAAGAATGCGCTGTTGATAAATAGAGATGTTCATTTTAGTGCTATCAAACTGACATTTTTCATAAGCAAAAAATAAACTATCAACATTCTTATGATCATTATATATAATCTATAAATAGAATATTTCTGATTGTTTGGACTAATATTTTAACATCAAAGAACATTATTTTATAGAAAATACATGGAAAGACTGTGTGTATAATAACCTAATTTAAATACTAAAATAGATTTTTCTATATCAAAATGATTTTTCCATATCAATATACAGAGCCGAGAAGCAAGCCACAGTACTTGATTTACCTAAAATGTTCTATCTGTCCATCAGCTGATTTTCCTTGCTGCAAGTTGTAATATGAAAAGAGTTTTAGTGATGGCACTCTTGTTTCATCCATTTTTGGAGATGAAATGAATTCTGGCAACTGTGCAAAATTTCCTTTTATTTGAAAACGTGAATCATTTCAGTTGGGGTTATAGAATTTGACTACCTTTTTACCTCTTGAATTGTTGTGCAGTTGAAGGTAAAATTAAAAGTTTAGTGAAATGTGAACTCTGCTTTACTTTTCCAAAACAAGAATAAATCCATCAAGGATTTGGTCTTATTTTTAGACAATCCTTGTTCTGTGTTTGATACACTGCCCAGCAATTCACTTGCAGTTATCTATTCCCCTTTTGCTTGCCGACATTATGCAATTTCTCCTCTTCAAGCATGAACAACTTTTTAACTAAATTC